GCACTCAGCTCTGATTTCTCATTCCAAGCTGCTATTACACCACCTATACATACACTGCCATCTTTTTGCACAAGTTCATTATATGTCCTGCATATGTTAAATTTTTCAAACCTACTTTCTGTATTATGTGTCTTAGAAATTTCAAGTCTCTTTCTGATTCTAAGAACGAGGGAAAGTCGAAAATTATCTGCACTCTTGTCTAAATATGTTATCACAAAAATGTGGATAATTTTTGACTTACCCTCATATAAGCACCCTTTTTGTTTCCATTTTCCTCATAACTTCTTTGTTACTCACATGCTCTGTCCCTGGTATTCTCAGTATCAAACCTTGTATCCTCAGTTGAATAAAGCTTTCTTAAAGCCTACACATGGGTACTTTTGTCATTACAATGGCTTTCTTTGGTTTGTAGGGGAGTTATAACTCTGAGTAAATAATTATAAACCCACTAACATTTATATATGAAGAAATACTCATAGAAATTGAGAAACAAGATGTGGAAACAACAAAATGAGTATTTGTTGGAGACACAAGAGACAATAATACTGAGTAAAATTGTGAGTTGGGATCAAATATGGATTGGAATTTAACAGAATAATAAGATAAAAATGAGTAAATTGTATACAGTCTTTCTCATGTCTTTTTTTTTTTTATATACATGTGTGTAATAAGTGTCCAGATAATGTAGTTGGAAAATAAAAGAAGTGTCTGGAGTTTTCTTAGCTTGAATTTTTGTTGTGCATTAAAAGGCAAATGTTACTTTTGTGACCTGAAAAAGAAAAGGAGCCGAAATTTTTCTCAACCTACATGTTGACTGCCTGTCTGATAGTGAGGATGTCATGTGTTTGTGTGTGTAGAGGAGAAAAGTGGGGCTGATTGTCATTGGTTTAGAAAGAGTGAATTAACAATAATTACAATTGTTATAATTATTTTATTATATTTATTTGTGGCATGATAATTTTTATTTTTTTATGGACACGACAAAGTGACAGTATAATTAATTCTTTATTTATGTATATTTTTATGGACACAACAGGTTCTAATATAATTTTACTGTTTTTTTTTTCTTGTTTTGGAACATTTTCTTGGTTTTGGGTAAATATTTAAATATAAGTTGTCCAATGTCTAAGTACTTTTGTTTTGGGTTTTGGAAAGCAGCTTTTGCTATTCCTATGCACGTATGGATTTTATGTCACCTTTTTTTATAGCTAAATAAAAAGATTAGACAAAGAAAACCAGCTCTCTTCTGACTCCTTTCCAGCCCTGTGGTACATTTATTGTATTATAAACAAGCATAAATATCCACTAAAGTTTTTAAACATGACAGTGTTACTGTCAAAATTTTATCGAGTATTACATCAAAAGAAAAGTTGGTGGGGGAAAGAAAACAAATAAAGGAAATGTTCAACAAATTTTTTTAAAAAATCAGATTCAGTTTAATTTCATGAGTTTCAACACCAACGAAAGTATGGAAGAAACACCAAAAACTGATTGTTCATTAGTTCAATGAGTAATTTCAACATGATTTTAAATATTTTTAATTCTATTCATTTCTTTCTTTTTAACATAGTAAATAAATAAATAAAAACAATTTTTTTTTAACTGTTATTTTAAATCACTTATTTTCATTTTGAGTACTGGAGAGTAAATCAACATTGGATTGCAACTAAAAGCATTTATTACAAAAACAACTCTCTTGAATTTCTTTCAAAGTTGGTATTGTGTGAAATAAAACTAATGACCTACAACAATTCACTTTATTCAAAAAAACAAAAAAAAAACAGGTTTATTCGGCACCTGTCTATGGTCTATATTTTTTGGTGGTGATGGTGATTGCTTGAATATTAGATGCCCATCCACAGGGTTATATTTTGATGATGTATCATCTTGAAATTAACCATTTTCCCCTGCTTATGACTGCAGACTGTTACCCACTGAGTGCAATAAGGAGGCAATGTCTGAAGAACAGTTCCACACTAACTATGCTTCAATTTAATGCTTTTCTAGCCTTTAAAAAGAAATTGAAAGTTTATCCTATCTTTTTTACTTTTATTTCTCCAGAAAATAAAATTTTCAGGTGATTATTTTTTTTTCCAGTTATATCATTAATTTTGTTTGTTAGCTGTATAATTTAATGATGAAAAAAAAATGGTAGCTTCCAAATATTCAGGAAGAAGCAAACTCTTATTATATTTCTTAAAAATAGATACCTCAAAAAAAAAAAAAAAAAATACCTAAGGTTTAAAATGCATTTTAAAAATGAAAAATCTTTCTTGAAGCTTTTGTTTTAATTCCAAACTAATAGATTAAATTTAATATTTCCAACAAGCAGAATATTTTGCTCTATTTCAAACCCAATTTAAATTGATTGAAATATTTTTTTAAATTGCTGTAATCAACTATACGGACAAATCTGTCAATACAACATAATTTCCTTTACAAAAATAAAAGATATTTTTCTGAAACCTTATTTGAGGAAGATTAACTGATTTAAAGTTTAATTAATCTGAATAAAAACAAATAATATTTACTTTTAATTTAAAATATTGCAGAAAAGCATTTTTTAACACAGAGATACATATTCTTATGAGGTGTTGATAGATTAAGGTTTGGCATTTTTAAGTAAAGAGCATTAACTGTAAAAATTACATGACAAATACAATATAAACATCTTTTTATATAATTTTAACTACCCAGTAATCTTAAAAATTTAAGAAAATATTTTAATTGAATATTTTACTGAATTTTACCTAACTTTATAGTCTTACTTATGAAGACACTTGTTGAGAAAATGTTAAAAAATTACCAATAAACATAAAATCTACTATAGTTACCACTCTTATTTTTTGATAATGTTGTATATGGATGTCCATATTTACAAAATCAGCACATTTATAGACGTTTAAAATTCAAAATTCTTTTTAAAATAGTGGAGGATCACTGAATTGTAAAAATTTTCATTTATGAGTAGTAAATATAATTTTTACTTAATAACAATATCACCTAACAGCTACAAATTGATACAGAATTTTAAAAGATTTAAAAGTTTATAAATTATTCAAATTACTTGGTTGATTTTGTTTACTAGCATATCAACCTCTATAGGTTATTTAATGCTGAAATCTAAATATTTAGAATATAACTGTATGCCCTCAACTACAGATAAAACACATTATTAGTCATTTTGCTTTAAATATGTATTGTTGGTAATTTTACTATAAATAGGTATTGTTGGTTGTTTGAATTTGTTTAGCTGCACATCAATCCTAAGAGTTATTTAATACCAAAATCTAAATATCCTGCATGCAATTTTGTGCTTTCAACTACAGATATTTTGTACTTAATTTCATACTCTCAGGGTAGAGGTATGTTTTTTAGATATATAATTTGAAGATCATAAAATATATTGTTGGTAATTTCACTATAAAAATTTATTTTTATATTCTTTAGTGTTGCATTGTCATTTTGCTACAAAAATGTATTGTTAGTCATTTTATTATAAAAATGTACTGTTGATTTGGGGGTTTTCTTATTGGCCCATAGCTGGGACCCTAATAGATGCTACTACCCATGGTCAGGGCAGATCTGGCAACAACAGCAGTTAAGAGGTGGTTCCACACTCCTCAAAACCTCCAATCTAACAATCAGAGGCCTTGCTACCAGATCTAATTTATTATCATACCCAAGATGATTATTCTAATGAAAATTTTAAAAATATGAAAACAATTCTTGAAAATTTCTTTTTTCTTAAGATAATAGTGTTCATAATATATCTTATTCATAAAAGCAATTAAAAGATTTTCTAATTAAATAATGTTTTAGTTTTATTTCATTTTTTTATTTTATAATTCAGGAGATTTTCTGTAACCGGGCATTGTTTGACAAAAAAAAAAAAAAAATTGATGATTTAAATTCCCCAAGGACTTGTGCTTATAACTAAAGTAAACTTTAGTTCTACAAAAAGCTCTGTTAAGCTCTACAAAAATGAATTTCTCAAAATTTCATAAAATTAAATAAGTGGAGGGGGGTCTGCAAAAAGGAAAAGTTTCTAAAATAATTTCATTCGAGTGTTAAACATAAGACAATTCTCTGATTTTTACAAGAATTTCCAAGTCAATGGGTTTGTCACCGCAAAAAGATGCTAAAATTTAAATAAATGGTCATCCGTTAACACAAGAAAAACAAAATCTTTAACCAAAATTTCGAAGGTTCTAAAAAGGATTAAAAATATAATTTAAATAATCAAAACTCCTTTGATCTCTCCTCTTAATAATAACAAAGTTTCTGGCGATAAAGCTGTTTTTATTAAGATTTTGGCATTTTTAAAATCATGTACGCTCATTTTTTACCGAATCTTTCTAGTCAGTCATTTCTTTAAAATGCCATCATACGTGATACACACTTCTTGTGAGATCATAAGTATTTATATTCATGACTGATTAGGCAGAAGATTTTCCCGAGATCGGTTCCCATTTCTTTCAACTGTAGACTGGTTGCCAACCAAGGCTATAGGATATCTTGCTATCAACCCATATGGATGCATACCTTTTTCCAAAGGGTATTTGTGCGTAAGTCAATATAACGAACCCGATTTCTCATTCTGAGCCTAGATACCTAGCAGTAGATACTACCTACTTAAAAAAGAGAGAAAAATTTGTAGGCTGTACATTATGTACAGACTTACAAGGTAATTAAAGTAAACACCAGCCAGACAAAATTAATATTTCTACTTTTCCATTTTCACAATCTATCAAACAAAAAACAATCTGAACAATTGTCTTCTTCAACATTAAGCTCTCAATAAATTAAAAATCTTTTCTTTTTGGTAATTAGTAACAATTAGAAACACAGATTAACGGGGGAAATTATTTCTTTATACTTATAAAGACGAAATCATTTCCTGTAATTTCCTTAGTCAATTTTTACGACAGAAACGGTGTCAACTGAAAAAAATCAACTTGCAACATTGAATGCAACTGACACAAACTTTTTATAAACAAATGATCATAAATGTAATTTTCATGTAAAACCTGTAAGCACCAGAATTCAATTTTACAGTAGAGTTTACTTGAAATAGGGTCATAGACAAAATTTAATATTTAATTCAGTATATACGAAGCATTTAGTTAAAAAATCGTGAGAATAATTTTCGATTATCGACTACGGTTGGGCGTTCATATGTTCTGCACTACTTACTGTAAATTTTCTACCATGCAATTCACAGTTATTGCATTTTAAACTGGTTTTCGGTTCAATTTCTTTCGTAAGGAAAAATTTCCTTTTTAAAAGGTATGATATCATCTTTATTTTTTATAGTGATTTTTTTAAAATTTATTTACTTTAGTAGTAGCCTATACGTGGTGCTTTCTCAGTCGCAATCGACCGAGCGAATCAATCTTGCAAACCATTTTTATTACACCACGACGAATTGCCTTGTTATAGCGATTTATTAAGCTTTGCTTAAATGTAGCACAAGGCTAAAACTAAAAGTATGGAGAACCCAGTGAAGATAGAACTCACTACTCAATCGTAATAGCGAAACAATCTTGCAAACCATTTTTTTACAGTACACTACGTCGAAGTGCCTTACTACTTTAGTTTTACCCTTGTCCTTATATTTGCAAATTTTAATTAACTTATCGTTAATTTTATAAATAATTAATTAATTTCAGATTTCTCCAACCGAATTTTATTTTGTCACGCGTCTTCACAACCTTTCTCGGCGATTTTGAATATCTAACGATTAAATCTCTGAGCGCCTCGATATCCAGGTGATGATGAGTTTGATCCTCACTGTGGGTTCCATACTTGTATTGTGCCAAAACTACACTAACATTATCTGAACAGAAACAATTAATGTATTGTAAAATAAAAACAATTTGATCATTAACAAATATTTATGATTTAAAAACACTTCATTCACTTTTTTAGTTTTTTAACAAATATGCAGTACTTGATTTGTTAGTATTGTTAAAAATCCGTCTAAAAAAGTGGTGATGAATATCGAAACTACCTATATGTATTGTATAAAAATACAATTATAGCACAAGGCAGAAAAAAAAAACTACTTTGTTATCAAATGTTTGAGTTGAACGTTATCAGGAAAATATATCTCTCTAGTCGAAGAAGCAAGGTACCTTTTCACCCCGTTGAAAATATTTCAGACAGTAAATTGGCCCACTTGGGGAAAGGAAAAAGAGGATCATTTTTTTTTTTCAAATTTAGACTAGATTTATTTATTTTTTACTATTCCATGTACGAATCAATTATGGTATGTATTTCCATTCAATGCATTTAGTGCCGACTGTATTTTGATATTACAACAAAAAAAATTGAGTTGAATTTAGAATACCAGTTAAGGGGCATAACTCTTTAAACAAGGAATATATTTATAAAGTTTAAAATCAATTTCAAAATATATTTTCGAAATTTATTGAATTTAAATTTGAATTCATTTACATAAGGTTGCATCATTTAAAAATATTTTACTTTTTAGTCATCTATCATACTTTTCTTATATTTATTAGTGGGTTAACTACATCGAAGGGGGATAACTCAAAAGTAATTTTCATTGTAAATTTTACCTCATTGTCATGTTTTTTTCAGATAAAATACGTAGTTTTTTTTTTGTTTTAAATTATTAATTTGCACCACATTAAACTTTCATCAAATCATTTTCATTGAATCTTCTTCCCTTCTAGACCCATAGGATAATTGCTGCTAATCTTTTGAAATATTTAAATTAACAATTATTCTTCCTTCAACATGGCTGCTTCTTTTCGAGTATGTCTTTGTTCAGCAGGCCGATTTGCGTTTCTTCAACACTTACAGAACTAACCCGTCGTCTATACTGTAACTATGCCGAGAGGGACTTAGTTACAGTATGTATGTATAGTCCAAGTATGTAACCTACTATGGCCACATATTGCTTTAAATTCAGAATTGTCCTTACTCATTGTTGCCAACCACAGCTAGAGGATTCAGTCTACCCTGCTATTTAACCAATAGCTGAGGGAGAAGACATGGGTCCATGCCTTTCCCAAGAGTATTTGTGTGAAACTGAATATAATGATCTGAACTGGAATTTGAACATGGATCACAGCTTTCACATTCTGAGCCTCCAATAATTACACCAGCTGCACTTCCACAGCAGTTCTTAATTTGCTGTGGTCGTGAGTATGACGATAAATTACATCTGGTAGCAAGGCCTCTGATTGGGAGGTTTTGAGGAGCTCTGAGCCACCTCTTAATTACTGTTGTTCCCAGGTTCACATTGACCCAGGGTGGTAGCACCAGTTAGGATCCCAGCTATGGGCAAAGAGTTAACTCCCAAACTGGGGTCAAAACACTATGAAATTATAAAAAACTTTATAGTAAAAAACCGGCAATACATTTTCATAGTGAAAAAATTACCAGCAATACATTTCTGTAAGGAAAAAAATATTACCAGCAATAAATTTTTTATAAAAGAAAAAAGATTATCAGCAGTATATTTTTTGTCAAAGAAATTATTAGTACTCCTAAAAAAATTAAATTTTGATATTAAATGATCCTTAAGAAATTGATGCTAAACAAAACAATTTGCTGAAATATCTTTTTTTTTATTTTTGTCTTTCAGTATAACTCATTAATCTTGGAACATTTCTCGTCTATGAATATATACAGACTCAAATCAAGTTTAGATATGGTATAAAAATTTAAAATCTTGATATTAACAAAAGATAATTATTTTGAACAGGAACATGATTTGAAATTATGAACTTTTCAGCCATTCTCTGCACTTTACTGCCCTACTTTTATATTTTATATTTATAGAAGCAAAATACATTTTATATTACATGTAGGAGAAGGAAAATACATTTTAAGAAGAGTTTTTGTATTATGGCTTTAAAAAATGAACATTTTAAAAGTATATATTCACATAATATATACAAATATATTAAACAAAGGTGGAGGAGGAGAAAGGATAAAGAAAAAATTTACTCATTGTAAAATGGTGAATCAAGAAATAAAAGAAAAAAACTAAAAATGCTAATTGGTTATCACACTTCAGTGCTCAATTGAGGATAAAACATATAAATATATAAACAACTACTGAAAAGAGGTAAAAAAATACTATCAGAGCACATTTGGATTACTATTTGAAAATGCTTAAACTTAAGGCAGCCTTTCCCTCTGTAAGTTTAAGGAATGGCTGCTGAGTCTTAATATAATCCTCTGTGATTTATATTACTCATTCTCTAGTAATATTTTTCTACCCTTTTTAATCATTGTGCACATATTTATATGTTTTGTCCTTGATTGAGTTCTGAGAAGCAATAACCATTTAGCTTCTTTTTTTTTTTTTTGATTCACTATTTTTTTATTATCCTCGTTCTTCCTTCCCTTTTGTTTGAATATATATATTAATCATTTCAAACCAAAGCAAAGCAATAAAGCTACTAAGACACAAGGGGACGGTTACTGAGTGTGAAAGAATATAAGAAAAAGAATAACATTATTAATGAGCAAGAACAATAAAGGAACAGGAACAAAGACAGAAGATAACAATTGATATGGTATTTAAATTTTTGAAGATCAAAGTTAACTGGAAAGCAAGAAGCCAGAAGAGAGCTCCACAGGCAAGAAATGTGAGAAAAGAAACTGTGTGCATAGAACTTACAGTTACATCTATAGTCATTTCACTGTAAAATCATGAGATCTTACCAAGTCATTCTGTGTCAAATCAACAAAGGTCTGACCATCACTGACACTGTTTTTTTTTTGTTTTTTTTCAAATTTGGTGCAATTATAGAGCTTCACAATATGAATTGAATGGTACCTATTTTACATAATATTCATGAACTATGATCATAAAATCAACAGAATTTGTATTATTTGTGGTTAAATGTTGACCAATTTGGTGGAAAATAAACAACCTTATTTTTGGTTTTGTTTATTAAACAAAAAATAGATTTTTATATGAAAAAGCGACTGGTAGTATGAATTAAGATCAAAATTTAAAAATTTCTCAAAAGATTTCATTGTTTTGCAGCAAATGACTTTTACCCACTGAGGATTTATGAATTAAAATTATGTTGTATCATTACACCAACATTAATTTTTAAAAAAATTGATATGAAATTAAAAATCACCTTCCATAACTGTTTTGGTTTTCTTGTATTGGTGAAGAATCCCAACTACTATGAAAAGCCACCAATATCTTTATAGTCTGAAGAGTACTTTGAGAAATTAATAGTTATGGTCAAGGTTAAATATCTTATTTGACCTTTAAACAAAATATAAATAGATTACCTTTTAGATCTGTCCAAGTAACTTAAAATACTACTGTGTTTAAACTCATAAAATCTATGTACCATAAAGGAAAGTTCATCAGAACAATTATTAAAGTATTTATAGAATAGGCATAGGGAAGCTCCATTATGGTGGTTGAAAACTGACTGAAGCTTGAATTCCAAGCCAGGTCCAATAATATTGCAGATTCTTCTTTGGATTTTATCAATAATCTCTAAATATGTAGCTGGAGCAGTAGAACATATGTAGCAGCAATATTCAAACGATAGACAAATGGTAGACATAAATATGTAAGATAGATTTTGGCAAGAAAAATGTGTAGCACAATAATCCAACTTACCTTGGCAGCAAACCTAGCAGTTGATTCAATATAAACTTTCCACTTCATTTCAGCAGAAAATGTTATCCTGAGAAAGTGCAATGAGTCCCTCTCCTGCTGATGGAATTTACAAACAGTTCTTTTTATTTTTCTATTTGATTGCAGTCTTGAGATGACAAATGAAAAATGTGTGACAGCAATTTTAGTTGGTGCAGGCCACAGAGGAAATGTATATACCACATATTCTAAGATAGAACCTGCCAAGTTTAAAGTAAGTATTAAATCGAATGAAAAGTTTTTAAAAATTCATATATCACTTTAGAGTAATGTGTTTTAACCATCAGTGATGTTTGTAATGAAGCAATGTGCTTTTTTTACTTAATTATAACTCTGTACAATGTGAGGTGCCTTGTAGAAAAGGGGAACATTTATTTTTTTGAAGAAATTTTCCAACCACTCCCAAGCATATTTAAGACTACCCTGTTTATTAATTTCACACTTTTTGACCCTTTGATTTTTCCAACCACCTCCTTTATTTAATTACCCCCTTTGTTGTATATTGAGAAAAATTATGATCCCACAATTATTAAACCCCACTCCCTTCAGGTACCTAAGATGAGTCAAGATTTTTTTAGTAACCTAAAATGCTTCTTAATACTTGAAAATTTGTCTCATTTTTGTTTGAATTTTTAAAATGAAGAACTGTAGTGATATATGATGATGCTCATTGAAATGGAAGCATGACCCTTTAAATGAGCATGAGAGTTCAAGGCACTTAGGGGCAACACTTATATCCAATCAGTTTCAACTTATATATAAAAGTGTGGTTTGGGAGCTGTGATTTATGACTTTTCCTAATTAATGTTGCAGATGAGAGGAGTTCAAGCTCTATAAAAGAGGAACCATTTTGCCTGCTAACCAGTCCACTCTGTCAAGCACTACAAGGAGAGGACCCTATTTGATGTTCTTCACTTTGTCTGATTTTTGTAACGCCTAGTAACATTTGTACTGTCTTGATGCTGAAGCACATGAATAAACCAGAATGATTTCTTCAACACATTTTTCTTATTCATGATTTTTCACTGGTGGGGGTCACTTTTTCTGCACCAAGTCACAGAAGAAGTTGCATTTAATTGATTGATTGGTTTTCTACAGCTTATCAACCCTTTGCAAGTTATTTAAAGCCAGGAAATATGTTTAGATTGTAAGAATTTGTTTATTTTTTAGATAATAATGGTTTAGTGATACAAGGCTTACTAATTAACCCATAGTTGGAGGGAGAAGTGGCATTTAAGACTTAACCAAGTGCTGGTCCAAGGCACAACACTACAATATCTACTTTATCTTTTGGAAAAACACATTTTAAATAACAAATGAGATTTTTACATGGAGGACTTTGTAAACATTAGGGTTCACATAGTATATGTGAACTGCAAGACTTTCCTCCTACCTAAATGTCCAGAGTTGAGCCATACTTACATTCAGATGAAAATTTATTTATAACAGTTTAAAGCACTTGCACATAACATCTATCTCCAAATCAGTCTCAGCCAAAATATTTTTGGGTTGAGATGTTTTATGATTTTTCCTAATCCAGCTGGCAGGAAGTATGAGTTCAAACTTCATAAAAGAGGAACCATTTTATCTGCTAGTCCACCTTGGTAAGCGTTACAAGGAAGAGTCTTATTTGACAATCTTCACTTTCTCCATTTCCCAAATCTAGTAGCTGCTGTCTCATTTTGCTGTTGAAGCACATGAATAACCCAGAATGATTTATTCAGCTGTTTTTATTCATTTATGAGTTTTTTGACAACAGAATCACTTTTGAATTGTGTTACTTTTTCTACATTGACCCAAGAAGCATCTAAAACTCAAGTGCTGGTCTGAGTCGTAACACTACAGAATTATAATTATACATAGATTTTTCATGTTGGTTGTTATTGGTACATAGTTTCAGTCATTTCACTTTCCAACATTCTTCAAAAGAAGTACAAAAAGTCATATATTCTGAATCAGTGATGTTACAAGCAGGAATTAATGAAACATACTTGACCATGGAGTTTCAAATGAAATCAGTCTATGCTTGTGGACTGAATACACAGTGTGCTTTCACAATCAAGCAAAGCAGACATTTGAATGATTTTCAGCTCAATTATGTAACAATATTAATTATTATTTTGCTATTAAAACAAAACTGTCACATTTCTAATTAAAAAAAGGGTGTAGGTCTTCTTTTAAGAGATTTTCACGTAAAAAATTGATTCAGCACCCTAAAAAAACATGGGAATAGATATCTAGATCATGATTTTTTTGACATATACAAAGAAAGGTATATCAAAAACTGATATTTGGTGGCAAAAAAAGGTAATGATCAATTTAGTATATGAAAGGAACTGAGTACATTTTAAATATCTTTCTGAGAAAAATTTTCTTACATTTTGCAGATTTAAATTGTTTCGATATTTGGGAACTTACACTAAAAAGGAGAAAAAATTTGTCTTGGGTATTTTATGTTAGTATTATGTAGATTTGAGGGGTGGTCAGACAAGAAAGCAAGTAAAATATGGTAAAAATTATGTTGATTTGACTTAATTTTTGTATATAGGACACCAAAATCCACTTGATATATGTCATTTTTTAAAAAGAGTGTCAAGTTAAGCCTGTCCATCATTTATAACATTCAACAAAATTTCAATGATTTTCTTGTAAAAATAAGCAGAAAATGCAACTATCTAGAATTGAACAAACAGGTGCAAATTTTGATTAAATTCAAATGATCATAACTTGACTAATACTTGGAGTTGGGACAAAGTTAATCCAGATCTGACACTGTCTACTTTTAAAATAGATATCACACATATCACCTGAGAAATGTTAAAAAAATGCCAAATATCTGTTTATGAGCCCATCATGAAATAAAGGGTTTAGGGTGAGATTCACATAAATTTACTTTCCAAAGAGTCTAATAGATGACTGGGATCAAATCTCATAAGGAACTAATGGTTGAATTTTTTTAACATATTATTTGCATTAATTCTTTTTTTTCCATGTTGAGATATTTTTAACTAAATTTTTATTTAATTATGAGAGATAAATTGCTTTGTGATGTTAAATTGACAAAAAGTGTTTTTATGTTTATAATTTTATGTTAATAACAGATCATTTCTGTGGCTGACCCCAAAAAATATGCACGGCAAAAAATACAGGATACTTACAACATTCCGAATGACTTTGTTTTCTCTGGTAAGTTTTCAATGGTTATCAGCCTTATTTCTTGTGAAAACTGCATTTTAATAACTTGCTTTTTATAAGTAATTCTCAGCTATAGATTAACTAACATGGTAGACTGGGCTCTTTAGCCTTGGAAGACGACCAGCCTAAGTAAAGGAAAACTGAATTCTAAATTGTGGAGAAGGCAATAAGAAAACACAACAAGTCATGGATAATGAAGAAAAGGAATCTGTGGAGAGCCATGACCATCTATGTCCTGAATAGGCATGGCCTTGGAAAAATTTTTTCCTCATTTTAGTTAATTTTGAAAAAGTTTTTCTTTCATCTTACTGTTATTGCTTTTTATCACAATACCCAGCATGAACAGAATATGTCTAAATTTGAACAATTTCTGGTTGGTTTTTGTAGCTATCTTGGTAAGGGCACTATTCCCATTGGACAGAATTTCAAGGATAAAAGATAACAGTTCAAGCCCCATTGGATATTATTCTTTAGTTTTCGATATACCTCTGCTTATTTAATGTTTGCAGAATATGAAAATGAAATGAGCATTGTAACCAAAAGTAAGATGAAAACAAATAGTTACAAATAGTTTTGTGAAAAAAAAGCCCCCCGCCCCCACCAAAAAATATTAATTGTTGGTATCTCTAATTTTGAGAAAAGATATTATCATTCCAAGAGGAGTTCAAGAGGTGTAAACACATTCTTTTTATTGCTTTTTTAACCAAAAAATTTCAGCCTGCTTATTCAAAGCCTTCATCAGGTGTATAAAAATACTGGTAACTTTGAGAAAAGTCTTTATCTTGCTCAAACTTTTAAACCTATACTTTTTATTACTTTTGCTGTTACTAAGAAGTTTCAGCTAATCTATTCAAAGACGCCTGCAATTTTGAGAAACATCATTATCATTCCAAGAATTGTTCAGACATTTTGTTGCTCTTTGTTCTAACTGTTACCTCCAAGCTGTCGCCTTGAAACCTGACAGCGCTCCTTCAAAACTTCACGACTGAACTACCACAAACGATTATTTGTATATACTTGTGCCAGATTATTTAATAAAATTTGGCTTAAACTTTTACATCCTCGTCTTTGTTGTCTTTGCTTCGATCGTATTACCCTATATTATTTTTCTGCTTGCGGGGTTAACAGTCAACCTGCTTAGCGCCGCAACACTGCTGTAGAAAGTAGGGTTTTATAGGATAGAGTTGTCAGACTCTTGTCCAGCAAGTTTTGAAATTTGAAAATTTCCTAGTTTTTCTTCACCTAAAATGATTGCCAATCAAGGTTAGAGAGCCCAGTCTGCCCTGCTATTTACTTGACAGTTGGTGGTGGGTAATGCTAATGATTCTTCTCCAAATTACAGCTACAGAAGGTAATAAAGGAAAGCTAAAAGAAAATACTAAATAACAAGCAAGTATAAAAATTTAAATAATTTGGAAATGTTTTAACAGAGGATGGAAAATACAATACTGGAATCTGAAGGCGCATTGGAATAGAAAAGATGCCTGCCAAAAGCTAAGCAAAGTATTAAGAAACAGGAAAGTTTTGTTAGAAAGAAAGAAAAGAGTACTAAACTGTTATGTAATATTAGTTCCCCTATGTGGCAGTGAATGCTGGACAATTGTTTCATAGATGAAAAGAGACTTGAGGTAACAGAAATGTTGTTCTACAGAAGGATGCTGAGAATGCCATGAACTGGACATGTAAGCAACAACAAAGTTTTAGGTGTGATGGAAACAAAAAAGGACACATTCTTCAAATCAGAAAGAGACAATTGAAATTTCTCAAGCATATAATGGGCAAAGAGGACTTAGAGAATTTAACACTTACAGAATATATTGAAGGCAATAGAGACAGAGGAAAACGGTAAATAATTTATTTAATGAGCTTGTGTTAGCAGAGTAGGGATTAGAGTTACAGATATAACCCACCTACTGATGAAGGACCCTTTCATTTTTCCGTTCACAAGGTGCTAGCTCCACAAGCTTGGTTGCGTAATATTGACCTTACAATCACTTGGCTTTCTTTTCCCTTCTCAGTTGGAGCTGGTGTGTCATCTCGACAGCATTGTTTTGGGTTTCCCAAAATCTTACGCTATTTGGATTGATGGCGCAGTCTAGTGCGAACCCCTTATATACATTGTGTACTATAGGCAGAACAGCACAACTCCATTGAAGATTATGCAATTCCTGTTAAAGATTACACAACTCCTTCCATAGCCATGGTAAACTTTTGTCTTTTTCGTCTGGACACTCATCAGAACTAAAGCTGGTAAAAGAACTCCTTCAATGAAATGCACAACACTATTGATAACTCTAACAAGTTTATTGAATATAAAGAAAACTGGTTGAATAAAATGTTCATTAGCTACTGCAAATCAAAATACTCTACTGCAGAGTAGAATTTGACTTATCTCATTTGTTCCAAAAATCAAAAATAATATCAGCTGTAAAATATTTAATGAATGTCGCAGAAATTGAAATAAATGAACCCGTCCCAATCTTAGGTACTAATCTTAATTTTATAAGAATATTTTTTTCAGGTGTCCAACATGACCTTTCTACATAAAACAAATGTTTTTCTGGTTCTTTGTCCTGAATAATTTTAGATGCTATTTTCGGTGATCATTCATTTTCTTTACTAATAAGACATTGTAAACAACATATATTGTTTTATTTTCCCAGAACCAATATCTCCAATGATACATTGTCTCTTTTTTATCAGCAGGAAGTGGGGGAGAATTGGAAGTCTTGGTTTTGCTCAATCTTACTGAATTCTGTCTACTTAAAATTGGGTTTGATTCTCCTTGGAACTGTTTTTAATTTCACATTATTATTTAAAAAAAAAATTAATGCATTTCATTTTTAATTTTTCTTTTTAACTATTCAATCCACTTTCCTGAGAATTTCAACAATCATCTTCCAGTAAGTGGTCTCTCTAAATCACCAACCTGCAATTTCATGCATTCAAAAGTTTAAACTGTGCCAGTGCCCTGTTACACAAAGGACAAGAAGTTGTGGAGAGCCATGATCACCCATGTTCTGAAGGAACAAGGCTCATAGAAGAAGATGATCTTTGTATACCTGAACAATGTCAGAGAATGTTTTGACCAAAATATTGTGGTAAAAGTGAAAACAACTTGAAATAGGAGTTCACTTGTGCAAATCACTCTGGGAACATTATCAGAAGTTGTAATCAAATGTGTTTGCTTCATTCTCTTCATGATAATCAGACCATACCAAAACCCCTAATACGATATTTATGTAAAATACTGTCTTCTGTATACAATGCTCTTTTAATTTTGGATGGAGAAAGTATGAATATATTTCCATATGTAAGGTGATTCTCACTTTACTAGAAATGGACAATATAAAAATATTGGCTTTCAATTTACATGTATTTCTTTTTAATTATTTCATCTCAGACCTGGCTATAAAACCAAGACAAAAGGGTTTACTGAGAATGAGTGAAACTGAGAAAATGTCACTGAGGAAAAAGGACAATAAAAAGCACTAGATTCAATCAGAAGATGATTGATGTTTGCATTTAAATTTTTGAAGATTGAAATTAACATCAAAGCTAAAAGAGTTCTTCAGGCAAGAAATACAAGAATCTATTGGAATAGAACTTAATTTTAAATAGCCATTTGTTGCCCACATTAGCAAAAACTTTTAGGTCATTTTTTAAATCAGCTGCCAGTTTGAATATTTCAAACCGATGAGACTCACCATTAAGACAAGAGTAAATAGGTGTACCATTATCATATATACTGACTTGAGAACTGATGACATCAGCATTGTTGTTGATGAAAATTAGGAACAACATAATCTAAGGATAGAGCCCTGGGGGACACCTACATTAATGCAAAATTGAATAATAACAGGATGTTAAGTTCTGTTTATAGTTAGACATGTGTTTGACTTTAAAACCAAATTTAATTACTAAATGTTTAATAATTTCCAATGTTGCGAGGATTCATGGTACAAGATTTCAAACAAATTTTCGTTTTCATTTTTTTATGGTAAGATTGGAGACAAGCTGTGGCTCGGAAGAAATTTGCAGATTGTGTCATTCTGACAACTCAAGATAGGATGCATAAGGTAAATGATCATCCAAATAAATAAAATACTCTCTCTCTCTCTTTCTCTCTGTCTATATATATATATATATATATGTGTATATTTCTGAGATGAGGTATTATGTACATTATTTACATTATTCGGATTATTGTCCTCATCATTGTCGCCATATTTATCACAACATTTTGGCCATTGTACGCTCCAGCCTTCTTCAGGTGGTTGGAATGTCAAACTGAACCCTTTATTTCGCTCACTGGGCTAGACTGTTGTAGTTCAAGGACACATGGCACAGTGGATAAAGGCATTGGTTAGATCCAGTGACTGGACCCAAAGAGTGAGAGTTCAATATCCGTTTAAGGCAGTGGAGAACTTCCAGAGGGAAATTAACGGGAGATAACTGATAACTGGCATCCATTAAACATGGCAAGTGGAACTAGAACAGTTTACCCCAGTAAGCGAAATAAAGGGTTCAGTTTGACCTTCCAATCACCTGAAGAAGGCCGGAGCGTACAACAGCTGAAACGTTGTAATAAATATGGCGACAAAGATGAGGACAATAGTCCAGATAATGTAAATAATATATATATATATATATATATATACAGTGGGTAGCAAAAGTATTTAACACATTGGTTTTTCTTACATATCTCAAAAAATAACAGATCAATTTCAATGAAACTTATAGGAAATATTTAAACGAACATTGTCGATCAAAACGTAGAAGGAAAATTTAAAACCACTGTTTTGAGAAACATTTATTGACAATAAATTAAATAATCCATATGCAAAAGTATTTAACAGCAATGCAAATATTATGCTAGAAGAGATGTGTCGTCATGATTCCTACCCATATTGATGTGATATGTTGACCAATGACAGCACTGCATGACACTCAACTGGCTATTAGATAACAGCTCTGAGACACTGCAGCTATTCTGTTGCCACTACTGCAAGAAAATGGTGAAAACAAAAGAACTGTCAAATGACATGTGCAAGAAGATCATAAAGAATCACAAAGATGGTAAGGGATATAGAAAAATCGCTCAAGATTTGAATTTGCTTGTGAGTACAGTTGGTGCTGTTGTTTGAAAATGGAAAAAATTCAATACTATTGAAAACATTCAAAGGAGTGATCATCCCCATATCTTAAATGAGGCTAATGAGCGATACATTTCCTGTACTGTGAAGAAAAATCCATTTTCAACTCGTCGAGAAATTCAGAATGATTTGAAAAATGCCGGAATTGAAGTTAGTAAAGATACAATTAAAAGATCACTGAATTGTGCAGGTCTCATTTCAAGATCACCGAGAAAAACTCCATTACTGAAACGCCGATATGTACAAGCCCGTTTGAATTTTGTAAAGAAATATGAAATTGAATCTAATGATTTCTGGGAGAAAGTAATTTGGTCAGATGAAACGAAAATTGAGCCTTATGGACGAAACATGCACACTCATGTATGGAGGAAAAAAGGAGCGGAATACAAGCCAGGAAATACCATCCCTACAGTCAAACATGGGGGTGGAAATATTATGATGTGGGGTTGTTTTTCCTCAAATGGAGTAGGAAAAATGAAAATCATCGAAGGAACAATGAATGCTGCAAAATACACTCAAATTTTGTCAACTCAACTCTTGAACAGTGCCACATTTTTGGGACATGGTCGTGATTTTGTATTTCAGCAAGACAATGACCCGAAGCATACTGCTAAAACAACTAAGAATTGGTTTAATAATAATGACATTAATGTCCTGGAATGGCCAAGCCAGTCACCAGATTTAAATCCAATCGGAAATTTGTAGAAACTATTGAAGTTACGAGTTCATAAAAGAAATCCATCGAATTTAAACAAATTGAAGAAAATTTGTGAAGAAGAATGGGTCAAAATACCAACAAGTACCTGCAAGAAACTAGTTGAAGACTACGGGAAACGACTGGAGGCTGTGAAGCAGAACAGAGGCTACTGTACTAAATATTAGTAAAGTGTATTAAATACTTTTGCATATGGGTTATTTTATTTATTGTTAATACATGTTTCTCAAAACAGTGGTTTTAAATTTTCCTTCTATGTTTTGATTGACAATATTTGTTTAAATATTTCCTATAAGTATTTAACACATTGGTTTTTCTTACATATCTCAAAAAATAACAGATATATATATATATATATATATATATATATATATATATATATATATATATATATATATATATATATATATATATATATATATATATATTATATATATATATATATATATATATTATATATATATTATATATATATATATATATATATATATATATATATATTATATATATATTATATATATATATATATATATATATATATATATATATATATATATATATATATATATATATATAATATATATATATATATATATATCTTATCCTGCACTCTGGCAGGATAAGATTTCTTGAATATTCCTGACAGACAAAAACAAATATACTGTTTAATAAATAAACAGAACATCTACTCAAGTATGAGTATCCACTAAAAATAACATTTAAAGTCATAACAATCTGTCAGGTTAATACATAAAAAATACATTACTTTAGAAAATATATAATTAGTGAGGCTATTCTGTACATTAGTAACTATAAAAAATCAATTTTTCAATTACTATAGTTAAACTGAAGAATATTTTACTCCACTAATTGAGTATTATGTATGCACTAACTGAATTTTGGTGAATAAAAATTTTATCACACATTGAATATGTATTAATCAAGGAATGCTTGAGTGTATATATATATATATATATATATATATATATATATATATATATATATATACAGTAGCGGCCATAATATAACGGAAACAACAAAGACATAAATATGTGTATTACTTAAAAAGTAATGCATGATTAGCATTGAAATTTTTACCGAATAAAGATTAGGGTGTAATGCATAAATATTATACAATATTACAAAAATTTACATAATAGTTTTTTTTTAAAATAAAGATTAAATGGAACAAGGGAAATAAGCTACTGGACAAAAGTTAAGGAACGATCTTGTTAATTCTTGATTGTGAACAAAATACATACTATGCATACACACATGTACATGTATCAGATAAATGATTGATATGTAATAAAGTATGTAAGATGGAATTTATGTAAACCAATTGGATTTTTTAAAGCTTTTATTTCCATGTTTGACTATATACAAGCTTTATCAAAATACAAGCATTATCAAAATAACTGAAAAATGTTATGTTACCATGATAACCCTGCTAATTAAAAATGCTGCGGTTAATTTTGAAAATTTTTACAATTAATAACATTTAAAAATAAATTTCAATGAGATTTTTTTCATTGATATTTATTTTTAAATTTTAAATCAGTTAAATTTTTATATAAGAAATATATTAGAATAAAATGTAAATATGGTGATCTGATATTGGAAATAAATCCACGAAAGGTATTTTGAGAAAAGAAAATAGTGGATATTTATAATTAAATATTGGATTAGTAAATAATATTTGTCACTTAGCCAATTGATGTTATATTCAGCACTTCTATTCTGGTCTTTCATAGAGTAACCTTTTTGTAATTGTTCAGTCCACTCATCTGGAGATTTCAGCAACTGAATTAAATATATATTTTTTATATATTTAGGTGTTAATCATAGAAATTTAAAAAAAAATTATTCGTCCTTTGACAGGATTTGAACCTGCATCCTATACGGAACCGTCATTTATGCTGACGTGCCTTGACCACTTGGCCACAAAGGATCATTCGGTTGGCAAGTTTGAAGTTTATAAGCAGTAAATTCAACCTTGCCAACCGTTCTATGAAAATTTCTCGGACATTCAGGCTGGTAAATGTTATTTAATACTGTTTATTATAAACAGAGCATTTACTTAAATACTTGTATCTATAAAAAGAACGTTAAACATTAAAATGTCTTTAATAAATAAATTGTCGGATTTTGTCCATTTCTTAATATATGACGTCATTTGTTTACATTTGATACGCCATGAGCAGTTATGAATGTACAAGATTCATGGAAGATAGAAGTTTATAAGCAGTAAATTCAACCTTGCCAACCAAACGATCCTTTGTGGCCGAGCGGTCAAGGCACGTCAGCGTAAATGACGGTTCCGTATAGGATGCAGGTTCGAATCCTGTCAAAGGACGAATATTTTCTAAAAAAAATTTCTCGGACATTCAGGCCAGTAAATGTTATTTAATACTGTTTATTATAAACAGAGCTTTTACTTAAATACTTGTATCTATAAAAAGAACATTAAACAATAAAATGTCTTTAATATATATATATATATATATATATATATGTACAGGGTTCATTGATTAAATTGTCGCCATTTTATATTTTTAATTTCATGCATACGCATTGTTTGTTTTTGAATTTATTGACTGCACAGTATAGTAGGCTCACTTGGGTACTGTCTGTGAGAAAAAGAGCACCATAATGCAATTCACTCCCCGAGAAATTTGGAAACATCATTGAAACCGGAAACTCCAAATACGAACATTTCAGAGTGTTTAGGTGTCAATCTGAGGACAGTGCAGAGGATTCAGAAAGAGTTGGATGATATATCCAGTCAACATCATGGTGTTTGGAGTGAGCACTAGTGATAGTGATGTTATGCTTCCATTTATCTTTCTACAAGACCTCATACTCAACATGGAGACCTACATCAAGTGCCTTGAGGAAGTAGTGCTGCTCTGGATCATCACCCCTTACAGCTGGCCACATAACTCCCTAGACTGCAAGCTCCTTTATGTGTGAGGCACAGTTGAGCGAGAGGCCAACAAAACTCCTTATAACACCAAAGATGAACTGAAGGCAAGGATTATAGCAGCATACACCAACTTAAACAAGGAGACCATCCAGAAGAGTTGCAGGTGATTCTGAAGTTGTTTGGAGGTCATGGTTGAAGCCAATGATGATTTTATAGAATAAATTTACTCTTTAGTATTTCAAAATATTTTTGTGCAGTTTTGATAAAGATATCTGTTAAAATGAGTCAGTATTATTTTCATTTTGCATAATTTAGATGACAATTTATCCATCTCACTCTGTGTGTGTGTGTGTGTGTGTGTGTGTGTGTATATATATATATATATATATATATATATATATATATATATATATATATATAGCATGTACATGTGTGTATAACATATTTCTTTATCACAAAAATTGCTTATCTCTCTTCAGTGAATTTTTCTGGTGATGTAATGGAAATAGAATTTTATTTTAAACTTGATAAATAAAACGCCAACATTTTTTTTATGTCATGTCTTCACTTATTTCTAGCTTATAGATTGTTTAAAGGTAAATCATAATAATTGATTAAAAGTAATGTAATTATTCATTTTAATTTTTCATTGGAATATTATTTTATCAGGAACCAGCAATTGCATTTTCAAATTTGGGATATCACATTCTCTTGGAAAAACCAATGTCTGTAAGTAGGATTTTTGTATATGCTAATTATTTTTTAATTTATTTTTTATTAATTTACAGAAGGCCTCGGACTCAGATAGAACTTTTGTGTAAATATTTGATCTAAAAAAAAAAAAAAAAAAAAGAAGAAAATTTCAAGTACTATAAAGTGTTCACAAGAATAAATAAACTATCAAAAACAACAAAGATGAGGAGGGTAAAATCATAATAAATTTTGAAGTTATAATAAATTCTACCAGATTGTTTCATCCTGACAACTCAAGAGAGGATAATAATAATATATCATACACACACACACGCACACACACATATATATATATATATATACACAAATGTAATGAGAAAGAAAATAATATAAATTCTAACGTTCACAGCATTAATTCAAAAGAGGTCTCAATACCAATAGAGCAATAATTATTTGTTATAATTTTTACATATGGATAAAAAAAAACTTATTCACTACAAAGAGACATTCTTGTTTCGATGTGGCTGCATTTTGACTGGTGAGAACCAAAAATGGTTATGAAGGATTCAATTTACAAGCCAGTCACATATGAAAAAAAAACACCTTAAGAGGAAATAGAGAAGGGTAAAGAAAAGGGAGAAAAGAGAAGGAAAGGAAAGAGGGTAACTAAGTAAGACAATATTATTTGTTGATAGCAGTTTAGGTGGTGAAGAAATGTTGAGGTGTTAAGACAAGGGCGTGACCCTAAAAGTTTAAAACAAAGCGGAAATGTCCGCTACAGTTTTTGATACTGTGTAATGGTCAGAAATCTAAGCAAAGTATGCCAAAACTCCCAAGAAAAAGGAGAGAGAGAGAGCGAAAGGTGGAAATAGAAAAGAGGAAAAACAATGAAGAAGAAAGGAGAAATAAGTATATTGGAAAGCCATAGTAGTAATTGAAGATGCTTTTTTACTGATGAAGGGTCAGGGATCTTAAAACAAAACCAGAGCTGAATTATACAGATTTATGCTGAAGTTTCTGTTATTTGTTCTGAAATAAACATAGCCTGTAAGTTAATAAATGGTCATTTAAGTGGAAAATTTTTTTGGTATGTTAAATTCATAAGTTATTTGGGGTTTTACAATAAATTTTAGTTCAAGAGTTTAAGATATAAGTAAAAAGACATATAAAGTATGGAATGTTAATATAAATTTTTTATAAACAAATTTTGATCTGTTGCCAAACTGTATAACTTGTAGAATAAGTATGGATATTAATCAATTTACCTGATAGTGTTGCTAGTATTATATATGTGCAGAAACAATTTAGAATCATAATCTAAGTTAGATCAGTAGAAACGTATATAAGAAGGTAGAAAATATATAGAGGTGAGATATAAAATTAAAAGTTTAGCAAGATTGCAATGTTAGATCTTTAATGGGCCTACAAAAAAGGGTAGTTTCAAATCTTTGGTTTAATAATTGACTGTTGTTCAAGAGCTCAATAATACATATTTTTCCTGCAGACATAAAAAAACAAGGTTCATTCAGAGATCTGCAAGTTCTGGCTTGTTTGAGGATTTTCCATTTAACCATAGGTGTTTTGTTTTCTTCCTTCAGTTTCCATAATATTTAAAAAGTGAAGTCATATTGTGTTTGCTTGCATTAGTAAAAGAGAATATGTGGTTATAATATTGATTCTTAAAAGCATTTCTCGTGGACCCAGCTTACAATTTTATATTATTGGGATTTTCAGTTCATGAGATGGAACACATATATACAATGGATTTGATTAGGCACTTATTTGATAAAGAACATTGATTGGAAATTCTCCAGTTACGTAGTTTTTTTACCTGGGGTATAATAGAATTTCTGTTTGGGTTGCATTTATTGTTGTTATAAAGTTTCAGTATTCTATTGTGAGATTTTAATAATTTTATTTAGATTTTTTGTAAAACTATAATTGATTTTGAGGGTATTACAGTTGAAGATTTGACTTAATTTACTACCCTTAAGGAAAATTAAGTTTAAAAATTTGTGTCCCAATTTGGTATGGACTAATTTATTGAAGGGAGGTGTCTACCAGATTGTTTTCCTCCCTCTATTCTTTCTAGAGTATTTTCCACATAGTTAATTTTGAAAGATCTATAGCCACTGTCAGTAAGGATTTTGTTATAAACAATTTTGTGCTTATCGAATAATTCTTTGCTAGAGGAGTGCTGGTTAATACAATGTTCAACAGATAAGGGGATATGCTTAATAACCGATGTTGGGTGATTGGAATTAGGATTTATATAAATGGGGCTTGTGTTATTTTTCAAGAAAGGTTGGAAATTGTTAAGGGCTAAGTTTAAGCAATCCACTTGTCTTATGTTAGAATTAATTTTGACTTTGACATGTAAAGATTTAAACACTCTATGAACACACACACACACACACACTCTCTCTCTCTCTATATATATATATATATATATTATTAATTAATTGATTTAAAATATCGTTTTTTCGCTACACAGTTCCAACCATGTTTCAAAAATAGAAGCTAAAAACCCCGAATTTAATTTTGCAATTAAATTAAAAGCATTAGTCCCATTTCATCTTCAAGTGAATTTTCAAAATAAACATAAACTAAAAATTCTCAAAGCTATCTATATTAAAAAATTGAAACCAAACCTTAATAAAATTAATTATGAATACTGCACAAATGTTTTAAAATTTGTACAATAGATAGTTTAAAATATCAAGGTTTACACTAATAGTTTTAATACTTATTTCTTAAAAACTCTCACCACACTATACTTAGTTACCTCCCCTTAAGTATTAGTCAATCTGTCACAGTATTCACTCAGCGTTCTTCACTTCACAAGTAAAAAAATTTAACTTTCAGATAAACACTACAATATTTGTCTCAAAATAAACAACACTCTGATGATGACATTATGCTATATCAAAAGTACTCAGAATAAAATATGTATCAATATGGCAATTTTCTCTCTTCTTTTAATAATGACACCAAAAAGCTTGTCCGTGAATATGAAAGGATCCAATTGAAAACAAAACTTATCTAAATTATTCAATGAAACATGTCTCAATGAAAACAAGCTTCCTAATATACACAATATATATATATATATATATATATATATATATATATATGTGTGTGTGTGTACATTTTTGTTTATTCATTATTATCATTTTATTGTGTATATATATATATATATATATATATATATATATATATATATATATATATATATATAATAATAGTATGACAAATTGGAAAAAGTTTTTGTGACTCATTTCATCTGTTAGAATTTCATTGGACTGGGCTTTGTTGATGTTGCCATGTCTACATGTGCATGAAATGAGAGATGCTGGTAGTTTCAAAATTTTTGAAAGAATATTTTTTTTGAAAGAAAAGTTTTTCAATCTAGTTAAATTCATCTGTATTCTTTTTCTTTTCATCACCTTCCCTGACGATACCACATTGCAACAACAGAAAGGACATAAACTCTCTCTTTCACTTTTGCTTTTTCAACCATAGGATGCAGTAGTGATGAGACCGTTCTTGTTTCACCACTGGGGAAATTTCTTCTCTCATCTGAGCTGAAATTTTAGTCTTAACCAAACCATGTGGCACACACAAACATTACAGCTAACCACAAAAATATGTTTTTCTCTTTTTTTCTGAGGTATGTTTTTCTGAATGTAAATATATATGTAAAGCCTTTGTCTTTGTTGAATTCACTTCTTTTGGAAATGTTGTGAGATACAACCAAATGTCTTTACAATTAGTTACCTTTTTCCACAAACTTTACTTACAGTAAAAGCTGGAAGAGAGTCTATTACCTATTTGTTTTAATAATGTTCACCCTATACATGACCCAAGAGCCACTCAAGGTAGAGGCTAACTGAAGGAGGTTGTTGTGTGAGTAGTAAGAGTAAGATGCACAGTTTATGAGGATCTGTGGAAATATAACAGTTAACCCTAGGCTCAAAGAAGTTAAGAGTGTAGTGGTCGAGAAAGCATCATCTTGGGAGTGAGTTGTGGAAACTGTTCGAATGGAACTTCTTACTAATATGAAGGAAATGAGGGTGGTTAGCCTTTGTGCATGCAGGAAGTGTAGCTGTGAGGGTTAGAGTTGGGAAGTAAGGAATGTAGCTCATCGGACCATTTTCTATGGAAATAGTGATAGAGTAGTGAGAGGCTTACTGTGGGAAAGGAATTGTAGGATGGAAAATAATTTATCACCTACAAGGCTGTGCAGATGAAATGACAGTTTTATTACTAACATTATTACTAATGACAATTGTATTGAACTGGTTGTCTCTTTATTTTAACTATTCAAGTCTGTTTATCTTTTCCAATAGGTTTCAGCAGAAGATTGTCGAGAAATTGCAGCAGCTGCCAAAAAGAATGGCATAATGATGATGGTGTGTCATGTACTTAAGTATATGCCTCTATCTAACCACATCAAGTCACTCATTGAAGATGGAACAATTGGGGATATAATAAATATTCAACTTCTAGAACCAGTGAGTATATAAAAACACAAGCATTGCTTTCTTACACTGACTTGTGTCACCTAAATAAATATTACAAATTGATTGATCCCAAACTGATGATTAATGGTAATATTGACCATTTCCTTGTAAATGGTAATATTCACAGTTAGGGATTGTTACTTACAATCCTTGTCCACAAATGGGAACACAGCACTTCTGAATTCAACATAGTAATAAGCTGATATGCAGGTGTAACTCATGGTTTAAATCCAAATAATCCTTGCTGTTCTCAGGTTGTAATAAATAAATGTTATTTTATGAAATGTTAAAATACACTTGTCATTTATTTTCATTTGTTTTTGTTAATCTCAACAACCTTCAATATAACATTCAGCATTTCATTTAAATGTTAATATTCACCATTTCTTTGTAAATGGTAATATTGACCATGTTAATATTAACTATGTCTTTGTGGAAACATTCAGCATTCATTGACCAAGTTGCCATTGCAATAGTATTGGTTGAAATTTATAAAACCTTCATATTTATAAAAAAAACAGCATGTTAAAAGAATGTTTTTTTCCCTTGACACTGCTATTACTGTAAACTCCTTTCATTCCCTCACAAGTGTTTATTGTTTTTAAAAAGCCACGATTACAATTTTTATAAAATCCTAACATATGAATATGTATTTATACATTTTCTTTATTCTTGAGAATTGAGAACAAAGATATTAAATATTATTTATTTATTAGATTGAATGAAAACATTTTTTCATAGTTATTTATAAAATGGCAAATAATAAATATTGCATTATTTACATATTTTGCATTGGTTTACATATTTTGATAGATTTTAATTTTTTATAAGTTATTGAATAAAAAGAATTCTTTTCAAATTTATTCCTTTATAAAAGGTAAATATTAAATATCACATTGTACTTGGTTCACATATTTTTATAATCTTGTAAATAAACATTGCTGAGGGAGTCAAAAATGTCTGCAGTAATAGTGATGTCAATGGAATAACCATCATTTTGATACACAATTTTTTTACAGGCACAAAGGTTAAACATTGCCAAACTTTTCTATTAAAACATTGTTTTAGGAAAATAGGTTTATCATTTCCATTATCATTCTTTCTAACATTGATGGAGGCTTCTTTTCTAACCCTTTGTTTGAAGTAATGTTGTATGTTTACACCATGATTATGCCATTAATACTCTCAATGCTGCAATTTTAAGCTAAATCAATGATTTTAGTGTTAAAAACATGATCCATTTGACTCAGATTCAAGTGATATTTAGTGTGAGCTCTAGAGATCATATTTCTTGTGATAGAACAAATCAGTGTAATCAATTTTTGCATGAAAAGAAGTTATCTGTTTAAAATTATTGAGATCTGTGAATTCAAATGTTTTATAGTTTAAAATATGGTAAAGTGAATTTTTTACTATGAAAATATAAGGTAGGTAAGGTTTTTTCAAAATGAAAACCCATGATTTAGTATGAAATTATTAAGTGGGTTAAGGTTTTTACACAAAAGATGGGTTAAAGTTTTAAACACCAAAACCTCATTTTTTATTTAAATTAGCATTATTTTAAGTATTTTAACTTTCAAAATTTGATTATATCATATATATTATGAGGGAGCACAAAAAAGTCGAGTCATAAAAACACAATGAAAATAATGACTTTCTTGTTGATTGAAGGGCTTCATACTCAGTGGGTGATAATTTTTTTTTTTAATCATTTCACCCTAACCCAGACGATAATGCCACTCAGACACAAGGGGTTACTGAGAATGAAAGAATCTGAAAAAAATCATTGTTAAGGAGAAAGAACAATAAAAGAACAGGTTTTAAAGAGCCAGCAGGATGACAATTGACATTGTATTTAAATAGTTGACTGGAAAGCAAGTAACTGAAAAGAGTTCCACAAGTAAGAAGTTTGAGATAAGAAACTGTTAGCCTAGAATAGATGAGTAGAATTGAAATGTGCAGATGTAAGTAAATTTCAGAGATATTTCTCAAAGTATTTTGGAGCATATGACTCACCTCAGATATTGCTAAAATGGACTTTGTACTGTGTTACATTAAGGCTTCAGAAAAGCCAGGTGCATCTGACATAGCGTGAAGATTTAGTTTATGCACTGTGGCTTTTATATTTTCTTCTAAGCACTTTTGAAGGCTAGTATGAAAAAGTAACATTTTGTTTTTATATGGCTCTGGATGACAAGGGCAAATAACCAACTATACATTTTGCTCAAGGGCTATAACTCATCTTAACAGTGTGTACATTCCAACAAAGGGGAGTAAGGTATGAGGCAAAAGTGGACTTCTTCAATCATATATTTTTTCGCTATTCTACCCATATGTGTACATTTTCTATATTTCTATATATGTATATATGAATAAAGACAAAAAGAAAAGTTATCTAAGCCAACACATTTCATCCTTTGAGGGACTTTTTAAGACAAATATGAGGATTTCATTTTTTAACAAGAGCAAAAATGTTATTGGTTTTTAAAATTTAGGAACACTCATAAATATTCATCAGGTTAGATATGGGAGACACTAAGTTACACAATTCAATGTCTAAACATTGAATTGTGTCACCTTGTGTCTTCCATAGCTGATGAGATTTTATGATTCTTAAACTTATATATAAATACTTGTTACAATTTTTTACATATGTACATTTATTTATATATTTTTCCTATCTCTGCCTATATATGTGACATAAATAGACATATTTCTTCTTTTTTTTTTTCTTTTTTTTTTGACAGGTTGGATTTTGGCATTATGCACATTCTTTTGTTCGAGGCAACTGGCACCGTGAAGAAGACAGTTCCAATTTCCTGCTGGCCAAATGTTGCCATGACATTGACCTCATTTGTTATTTCATGGGCAAACATCGATGTACAACAATTTCTTCTTTTGGAAAACTTAGTCACTTTACTAAAGAGAACAAGGTACCAAATTTGGTAAAATTTATTTCTCTGATGTTGATATTTGCCAATTTTTATGAAAAACAACCCCCCACACACACACGATGACTGATTTAGGCTATTAATCTCATTTTTATTTTTGATTTAATTTATCTGTTCAGTTACCCCACCAGCCTTGTACATTTTTTACTAATGTTCACCCTATACAAGGCCTAAGAGCTACTCAAGGTAGAGGGTTACTGAAGAAGGTTGTATGAGCAGTAACATTGGTTAAATAATTTGTTTTCTATAGCTTATCAACCCATTGCAGGTTATTTAAAGCCTGAAAATATTTTGTTTCAGTTTGTAACAATTTTTTAAAAATAATAATGATTTAATGATACAAGTCTTACTAATTAACCCATAGCTGAGGGAGAAGAGGTAGATTCATAACTTTCCAAAGGTATTTGCATGTAAGTGAATATAATGAACCTGACTAAAATTTGAACTCAGCTCTCTGATTTCCAATTTCAGTCATTATTCATGATACCACCTGCACATCCAAGATTACAGCACCTGGTATTCCCAAGATGTCACCCCTCTAGCTACTGACCAAGCTATAAATACTTGTTACAAAATAAAATCCTTACATTTGTCTTGAGAAAATCTTTCAGAGGATATAACCGCTAAGTTTTCCTTTTATTTTTATTCATATTGTCCTTTTATTCAACATTGCTTAACTTCAGTGATCATACAGGAACCAGTGTTTCATCAGGAATGGCTGTAAGCAAGTAAGAAGTAAGATAAGAGTTAATTTGAAGAGGTTAAGATTGTAGTGGTCAAGAAAGCATCCTCTTGGGATTTGGTTCTACTAAATTGCAGTTCTTTAATTATGGAAGTATGAAGTTCTAACCCTTAAATTGTTAGTCATTTAGTTCTGACTTAACATTAAACTCAGCATATCTTTCATTATTGTTTTATTTTATGTATTAAATTAATTGTTACAACTCTTGTGTGTGTGTGTGTGTGTGTGTTTGTGTGTTCTGTCTCTTTAGTGTCTTATCATACCAATGTATTTATTAAGAAACCAAGGATACAAAAGACTTTTTTTTTCTTTTTGTCCCATCTGGAATTATGAAATATAAAAAGTTCTGATCAGAAGTCCCCCAAGAGGATACAGTACATATACAATCAAGTAAATGGAATGAATACATCATCTAAAGCATGAGAAACTGGATAGCTGAATTCTAGTTGGGTTCATTACATTCACTTACATGCAAATACCCTTGGGAAAAGGTTAAACAGTAGGACTTGTATCTTGAAGTCAGTGTTATTCTCAAAAACTTATTAATGCAATATTCACTTGTCAAAGAAAAAAAAGTAAAGAGAAAAAGAGAATTATTCTTATAATGTGTATGGGTTGATATACATAATGTGTATGGAGTGATAAGCAAAAAAAAAATACAAATTGGTCAATCATCTGAAGCACTGCTAAATGCAATGAAGATCCAAATTTTGGATAAACCATTATGTCTGTAATGATTAATTCTAATTTCTAACCAGCAATGTACGCTTGGATATCATAGGTTGGATTTCTTAAGGCAATGCATCCAAATTTTCATTCACTTTCATATGTGAAAATAAAAATCATAGATTACACACACACATGCATTTTATATAAAAATGATATATAAATTTTTATATATCAAGAACAATTTTAGGGAAAAACTATGTCAAAGAGTAAAAATTTTTGTTTTTGTGTGATGTGTTTTTAACTTTAGGAGTACTTCTCAAACTATCTGATGTGGTGTACTGGCAGTTTTTTTTTCAGTATGCAAGGGACTGGAAAGAAAAGCTTTCCAATCAGCTGTGGGGATGTTTTTTACATATGTCCTACTTTCAGGGTTATTTTGAGACTATCTGTACTAAATATGGAGGACATGATGTCTTATTCATTATAAGTCCAGTCATCATTGATGTAACAAGTCTTCCCAGTGTGCCAGGGACTGGTACCATGTTTGTGCCATATAATTATATAATGACGATCTGAGAAAGTTTTATTTGAACAAGCATAATATTATTTATTTATTTATTTGTTTCCTGGAAACTCACCACATCCTGGCAGATGATGGCTTGCATACCAGCACCAGCACACTTTGAGTAGCACTGCTTTAGGACTTTGTCAGACTAAAATGATGTTTACATTGATGTGACAACACATGATCACAAGGGAGAGGGGATGCTGAGAGTTTTAAATTTAAATTAATTTTTTTTTTTAAATATGCTAAATACTCTTTTTTCTTATATGTCTGGAAAAAAATTTTAAAATAAATGTTTATTTTTATAGAATTATTACAATTAATATTAAAATACCAAAATGTGTTTTTTTTAAATTTCATGCACAGCGATTTTAAAAAATTATATATTTAGTGTAAAGGAGTTATTTTAACATCTAAGTTATACCAATAGTATATGTTGTTAAAGATTGTAATGAGCCCAACAAACATTGATGACCTAGAACAAGACAAAACCACTAGTTGACATATGATACTTACAAAAAGCAGTCATGACTCCAACAAAAAATTAAATAAAAGACTTTTAAATATAGAAATTTTTGCTATATATTTTTTTAGCCTTCTAATGCTGCTTCACGTTGCTTACACTGCCCTGCAGATGTGGAACAATCCTGTCCTTTTTCTGCACGCAAAATCTACCTTGCCAAATCTGAAAGGGTAATTTATGTTTATTATTTTCTCTTTTTTTTTTTTTTTGATAGAGTTTCAATTTTTTGTTGTTTTTTTTTTTTTTTTAGTGATTGCATTTTTTCCCTGGAATTGACAAAAATTTGGAATGTTACCAAATTTTATAATAGTTTATTCAGATGATGTTAAATTTTTGTTCAACCATTTCTTATTGCCATTGTGTCATGTCCATGAAGACTGAAAAACATTAACATTATGATTTTTGTTGGAATGACAAGAATATTTGATGTATTATTTATTTTCCAATTTTCAGAAATATTTTTTAAACAAAATCAGCACTTTATAAATTCAAACAGAATTGCCAATTTTTTAATGGATATTTTTTAATCTGACATTTCTTATTCCTAATAAATTACTATAAATGTTATTTTTAGTAGATACATACCTGTTATTTTAAACAGTAAAATCAATGTCAACCAGCATAGAAAGTGAGAAGTCCTTACAAAAATAAAATATGTCCCCCAACAAGAATTGAATGTATATTCCCTTTTCCCACCAAGTAAACTGCACATATTTATGGAATGTATATTTCTCATTGAGATGTTTTGAATTCTATATCTGCTAGCTTTAATGCATGCTATACTTGAAACTTAAACAAAATAATTATCTGTTATTACTATAAACATTATTTTAGTGTGTACACATGTTTGAGTTGACATCCCTGTTTTTTTTAAACTGGGAAATTAATTATGATTGAAAATATGGATTAAATCTGACAAAGATTAGATAAGGAACAAGTCAGAAAGTAAATAAATTATTGGTTTAGTGTCCTACTTGTTCCTTATATTAATAAATTTGCATTTTTCCTCATTATTAGCACGACTAGGAGTTTCATGCACAATCTTCAGCTTCTAAATTAAGACTGACCATTACATCATTTAAATATGTGAAATATATCAGATTTTCGTAATAGTGGGATGGTTTATATTTTATACAGGTACTGCTGTTAAATTTAAAATATTTGTAAATATTGTTGTTTGAAGCTAATATACATGGAGGGGGGTTGCACAGTGGAGTAATGGATTATGCCTTGGATTGAGGAATTGGAGAGACAAGTTCCAATTTTAGTTGAGTTCATTACATTCACTTACATGCTAATATCCTTGAGAAATGTATGAATCTATTTCTTCTCCACCCAGCTATGAGTAAAATAACAAGGTGGAATGGGTCCTATAGCCTTGGACAGCAACCAGTCTAGGAGAATGAAACTCTAAATTCAAACTGGATTTCACTATCCTAAAAGTATGTATTGTAGCAGAACCCCTGGAGAGGACACAATATAATATGGCCTGTGCACCTAAATAAAGATGTCACAAGAGGCCTGCTAACATTTTAAAAAGAAAAGACCTGAATCTGACAGGTCAACAAGAGGACAACCAATGACAAACTTAAAATTAATACAAAATTTATTTACAACATATACGAAAGTAATGTTTCTATTAAAGGAACATGAACAAACAATGAATCAAGTAATGGAGGCAGAATTAAGTAAATGATGGGATACTTACTGGCTATAGGATCTGGATAATATAACTGTGACTAAATGTTAAAAGTAGAGTCTGGTAAGTTAAGTTGGCATAATAAACCAGTTCGAAAGTTCAGTTCAAATGTCCAGTGAAAGTGTTGAATAGTTGCTGGTTAATTCCAATGAAGAACCTTCCATAGTATTTAACTGAAGTGTATGGATTAGATTGTTTGAGTCTGGATGATATAGCCAAAAAGGAAGTAAGTTCAGTTTAAATGTCTTGTGCTGGCGTTGAGTAGTTGCTGGTGAACCTTCTGTAGTATTTAAACCAAGTGTACAGAATAGGTTGTTTGAAGCCTGGATGATAAAGATACAACTTCTTAAACCATGCAAGTTAGGTTGACTGGAAATGCCAGGAGTTGATAGTTGAAACTAGGCCTAAATAGCTACACTGTTTGATGCAGGCGTTGATGAAATCCATGATGAAGCGGCAAGAAAATATTAGCCAATGTTGCATCAATGTCCGAGTAGTTTGCTGGCTAAGTCCAATGATAAACCTTCCATAGTATTTAACTGAAGTGTACAGAATAGGTTGTTTGAAAAGAAAATAAATCCAGTGTTGCTATGAATTATAAAAAAATATAAAAATGTTCACAAAGAGTATTTAGATTAAGTTAGTAATAATCAACCAATTAAAGAGAAATTAGGTTGATTATAAAATTAAATAAACTTGCCATATTAAATTGAAGTGAGTGGAGTAACACAGTGAAGAAAAGGTCAAGGTCTAAATGAAAATATTGTGTTGACCATGATTACATGATCAGAGTAGCAAAGGGCTATAATAGTATACATGTGCCTGGGGATCGCTTGTGAATCCAAATTCCCATTGAAACTCCTACAATTAGCACATCCTCATATGTGACATTAAAAAGGATCCCAATGTTCCATAGGGAACAAGAGAAACTATGTATTCATTGTAGTAGAAAAGTAAAAAAAGCAACAACAGCCATGAGTGAAATTATTGTTGGTTGGATTTCACAACAGGATTGGCATTTTATAAAACAAATAATGTTCTGAAATTTCTTAGTGGCAGACAAGATGAGATAATTTGTATTGGCAACAAAATTTGTACAGCATTTCCTTATGATTAAAACCTGGATTGAAATTAAGTTGACAGATTTTTACTTGATATTTTTATGTCCAACATCTCTTTATTATGGAAGTATTATGGGAATTCCTGATTTTTTATAGACTTCTGTGCTTATTGGCTATTTTCCATCTATTTTAATTTTATTATTTAATCATCTGAGAGAACTTTTTTGGCTTCCAGCAACATAGCTGATTCTAACCTCCTTGCAACTTCTTGGGCTAACATTTTCCACTGACATGAAGTGGAAAGATTATATTGAATCAATTCTTAGATCTACTGCTAGAAAAGTTGGTTAACTGTTTTGTGCTAAACAATTTTACTCACCAAAATCTATCTTATACATTTAGAAGCCTACCATTTGTTCATGCATTGAATATTGCTACCACATCTGGTCTGATGTTTCTGCTAGTGTAATTAGAGATTCTTGATGAAATGCAAAGAAGAATTTGCAATGTTATTGGAAAATTGGCTTCAGTCAATTTCCCACCACCATAATGTAGCTTCGCTGTGCCTTTTCTATAAATATTTTCATGGTAATTGTTCTGATGAGCTTTCCTCTTTGGTACCTGAACTTTATAAATATCAGCTCAGTACTAGATTTTTGGCAAGATCTCATCACCTTGAAAGTTAAAATGGCTACATGTAACTGTAAGTTTTATGCTAACAGTTTCTTCTCTCGCTCTTCTGACTTGTGGAATTCTCTTCAGGCTTTTCACTTTTCAATCAAGTTTGATCTTTAAAAATGTAAATACAATATCAATCATTATCTTCTGTCTTTTTAATTTCTGTACTTTTATTGTTCTCACTCCTTAATAATGTTTTTTTCTCATATTCTTTCACACTAGTCACCCTTTGTATCTTACCTTAATCATTAAAAAAATTATTCATTGGACAGAAAAAAATCAATGATAAAATTCAAATTTTCTTGCATTGTGATCCATATTTGTTTTGCACATAATGATGGTACTAGACAAGAGAGAATATTTCTAGTTTATATTTTCCCATTCTAGACATTATTAATACTTAAAACACAGACAGAACAGAATAAGTGAAAGAAAGGAATGACAAACATGCATTTTTCTCAAAGTGATTTATTTGCTAAATAGCAACTTGAGTTTGTCACTCTACAAACTGACATCATGTGATCCTTGTAACTTTGTCTTAATCAAAGAGAGATAATAACCTTTCACATCCCAACACACAGATTTATGTCTTCAGTAAATACAGTGTAAAATATTTCCTCCACAGCCATTCATGCTAATATCCTATTGTCCTACTTCTAGATGATGACATGAGTTGACAATTTTTTTCATTAATAGTCTAATAATGTACATGTTTAACTAAAACTGAGGATCTTCTGCCTTCTTTCAGCAATAATTTGGATAATTTTTTTGCTTATTGGCTAATTTCAATCTTTTTTAAATCATTGAATAGAAAAGATAAATGATAAAATGCATATTTTCTTTTTAAAACAGATTTGTACCTTTAGTAAATATCATGTAAAACTATTTCAAACACAAAAGTAAGAATTACATCTCTTGAGCAGCTAATGAAGAAAAAAATTATTAGCAACAGTTAACTGAGAGATGTTGAAATTATGAAACTGTTTAAATTCCTATTAAAAAGATCCTTTTAATTTGCAGAAGTGGCATAAATTCTTTTGTCTCTTTTATTTCTGTTCAGGGTTACAAGGGTTGGCCTCTTTCAGTCGTGGTTGATAATCCAGATATAGAAAATCTGACTGATGCCTTACTACATGGACCATATGGAAAATGTGTTTATGACTTAGATAATAATGTCATGTCCCATCAGGTAAGTGAATACCCAAAAATAAAGCTAGAAGAAAAATCTGAAGGAATTCCCAGGAGATGTCATGTTAAAAATAAATGTCCTCAGTATTTTATTACCAGTTTTACTCGAGCTTATTATTGTTTTTTATCACTACACTGTAGCATAAGACACTATATGTTATAACGAGTGTATAGTTGCAAGAGAAAGAACAAAGATTAAAATTTCAACAACATGTATTAATCAATTTTCAGAATATATACATAGTTGTGTGAAAAGGAGGCAAAAATTGTTAATAAGTGGTTCTTTAGTTGGTAAGGAAAATGATTAGGTGTAAGGGTGTTGTGGGTAAGGCCCAATTTGTTGGGTTGGTTGGCTGAGGTCATGGTTGGCATCAGTTGAGAGGCCAGGAGCAAATTAGTAAAGTCAAATGGGAGTTGACATATACCTTTCTTCAGGGTTGAAATCAATGCCAGTAAGGTGTTTGGATGGGTTTGAGGTCCTGTAATGAGGTTGATGTGTTGAGACAATTTGCCTGTCATCAGCAAAAAGTGCCGTTTCCATATCTGTGGTTAACCGGTGTAGACTCCCAGGTACATCTTTTTCTTTTTTTTTCCAATGATAACATTCATGATTAGCTATTGCCTTTTAGATTTTTGCAGGGATTTGTTTTGTGGACCGGATGTGATACTTGGAGCCCCTGTGCAGAATATGATCTTTTTATTTTGGGTTTTGCTTTCTTAGCACTCACATTCAGCCAATTTATCTAGTGAAATGTATTTGTGAATCAGAAAGAGATCTTGATTAAACAGTATAATGTATATGATTAATGCAACAAACAATATGAATTTGAAAATAAATAAGTAAGCTACTTTCATATGCCAAGAACTTATATCAATACCACGTTGAAACACCGGTTCTCATATGATCATCAAAGTTAAGCAATGTCAAGCCTGATCAGTATCTAGATGAGTGTCTGCTTGGGAATACTAAATGCTGTAAACTTAGATGATATGTGGGTGGTGTAGTGGATAATAGTTTGGAATTGGAAATTGGAGAGTAGAATTCCAATTCTTGTTGGGTTTGTTATATTCACTTACAAGCAAATACCCTTGGGAAAGGCATGAAACCAACTCTTCTCCCCATAACTATGGGCTAATTAGAATGACTTGTATTAGTAAACCATTATTATTTCCAAATTCTAAAAATCTTCACGATCTAAGAATATTTTTTGGCTTTAAATATCCTGCAAAAGTCTGATAAGCCATAAAACAAATCAATTCATGTCAGATTTCAAGCTGTTTACTCTTTCTTACAAATAGTTAATTGCAAAAAAAAAAAAATGGTTGATAAAAAAAAACTGCAGTACTAAGATGGATTAAAATTAATAATACATGTATCTCAAAATCTTTTCAGTGAACCAGGAAGCTTCATCAGTGATTTTTATTGCTGGTGTCATTGGTGGGGAGAGACACCTTTAAAATATCAGACTCTCTCCCCCCAGGTGTGATCATGTCTTGATCAGCTTCCTGACCTCTCTTTGTTGAATCCATGAAATTTAGTCTGATTTTATTTTGGTTTGACCCCTTTTGCCATTCATCCAGGGGGAATAGGTTTTGCAGTTACTATAATAGTGAAAATAATTGATATAAAAATCAGCGATAACATAGTAAATAATAGTGAAACTAATTCATCTAAAAATTACGGAAAAATAGAAACCAATTTTTAAAAAATATATTTAATGATATTTTATGTTTTTAAGAATATTTTGAAGGTATGTTTTCAAAATAAAAACCAACAACTCCCATTAATCACACATTGACAAAAATTCAACTTGACAATAAAAAATATGGTATTCTGATAAAAATAGACAAGATTTGAATTCATTTAGAATTTTCCTTTTTATGCACAGTAGATGCAACTATTTGATTCATTCAGTTCTCCCAGTTATAGTTATGCACATAAAATTATCTTGGTCTTTTTATTTTTCTCTCTTTAGGTTGTTAATATGCAGTTTGATAATGGAGCAACTGCATCATTTACAGTTGTTGCATTTACTGAAAAAGTCTGTACTCGACAACTGAAAATCTTTGGAACAAAAGTAAGTAATAAAATGAAAACTATTCTTTACTAATAAATCATTATTTTTTCTCCGCCACAGCAGGAATCATATTCCAAAACGAAAATCAGCAATTTTAACAAAATTCTCTAACTCACCAGACATGTCCCCCTTCTGATTTCTGATATCAAATGATCATAAATTCAAAATTAGAAAAAAAAAATAGTTATCTCCCTTCAAAATCAATAAAAAACAGTTATCTCCTTTTACGTCGGAATTTAAAAAAATTTTTTTTAATGAAATTCATCCTATGTAGAGCAGTAAAGCCACTAAAACACAAGGGGTTACTGGGTGTGATAGAATTAGAAAACAGAAGCATTATTGAGGAGCGAAAACGAAAGAAGAGTAATCAAGAAGACAGTAGATAACAATTGATATTGCACTTAAATTTTTGAAGATCAAACTTGACTGGAAAGCAAGAAGCCAGAAGAGATAGCATAAATGTTTGTTTATGGGTGAATTTATTTGGCGAAGGGTGCTTTTTATTAGTAACATTAGTAGAGAGAATTAATCACATAAAGCAAGAATTTGTTATCTTACAATAATACATTCATTTCACTTTTTTGCTTGTTCTCCTCTCCATATAAATTTATGTTGATTTTATGATTTACAGCAATGAGCAGTGGCAAACACTTCTGTTTTGCTTGATGCTTTAAATTGAAGTTACAAAATATGAAAATTATTTTGTTATTTGAACGTTGTCGCTCGTCCTTCCAACAGATATATTGTAGATTACTCAAGCAACTTTGAGGATTTTTCGCTTACAAGAGTTACGGCTCTTTAACCAAAAAAGTTAACTGCTTTACTTACAAGGGCCGTAACTCTTGTTAAAAAAACAACTAATATAGGTTACTAAACTTACCTTAGTCTGACACATGTCCACTGTAATGGAGTACTGGAGAACAATCAAACTCACAACGCAAGTTAACAGTCTGTTAAACCGTTGCTAGGTCTTCAGTATAAGTTAAATGACTTTTTTCTTTTACTTTCATTATGTACTGTGAAACATTTTCTAATGAAATTTTGTTTTGTCAATCAGTTTAGCTTATATAATCTAATCCATGTAAAACTGCAATGGTTTGGTGCCTTCTGAATGATTGACATTGTCTCATCATAGCACTTTCTGGTTTTTGGATATTGTGTTAATTCATGCCCGGATAAAGATGACCATAAGTTGTCAAATATGATGCTTTAAAAACACACACACATTTTCCAACAGCCAAACCTGTAAATGCTTTTCTTCCCTTTTCAAGTATCTGTGTAAACGAGTATATTTTCACACACACACACACACACACACACACTTTTCAAATGCCTATAAAAGCTATGTTTTGGGATACTAAAAATTGTAAAACACTTTTCAGATCTACTGCCTGCCTCATCAGAAAAACCTATATTCCCTCACATACACACATGCGTAGGCACACATATACACATTGGTCAAGTTGGGTTCTGTTTGCAGACATGGTAATGATGATGTTTGTATTTTCAATGCTGATTGCTTATGTATTATTGACGATTTTGATTATGCTGATAGTGATAATAACTGCAGTATTAATTATTAATAATATGTTAATGATAGTTATTGATGTCTTAATGGTAAATTTAGCCTTAATGATAATGGAAGCAAAGGTATTAAAAAAGTGAGGGTGGCAATAATTACAATCTTAATTATGTTAATAGTTGTGGTGACCATGATAATGATGATAAATAATATTGATAATAATAATCATAACAATAATAAAAACTGTCAAAAATCAGTACAAATGGTGATAGAGGTGGTTATGGAGTGATAGCAGTATTGATAGTGGGAATAATAGCAGGCAGTAGATCTGAAAAGTGTCAAGAACAACCCTACTCACTGCTCGTTGAAAAGAATATCGATACACATATAGCCACAGTCCTGATAATGAAATAGAATTATAATTGTGTATGTATGTATGCCCGAATGCATGGATGTGTAATCTGCGCTTGGCCTTGGATTGTTTATATGGGTGCATTTGCATAAACTAAAATGCATACACCGGCCTGTAAATGCGTACGACAGTGTCATCCTGAGCAATTACAGAAGGAAATTACCCTTCCACTACCAAACATAGTCAAACAAACCTAAATAGATCCAATTTTAAAAAATAAACCAGTTTGTTTGATGATTGCAAAAGTGTAAAACCCAGGGTCACAAACTCATATCCATATAACAGAATGAATATATATATATATATATATATATATATATATATATATATATAAAATGCATATTTTCAAATATTCAGGCAAGTAAATGTAATTAATACTGTTTAATTAAAGAACAGAGCATAAATAAATATCTATAAAAATAATGTATAAACAGAAAATATATTAAATAATTGTCGGACTTAATCCATTGCATAGTATGTTGTCATTGTTTACATTAAGATATTTTTCATGAGCAGAAATGATAGATCAAGAAAAATTGTCAAAGATATGTGTTTGTAAACAGTAATTCAGATTTTGCAAACCAGATGTTTCTTTGTGACTGAATGGTTAACAGCACATCATATTTAAATTATGCTTCCCCATATGGGTTACAGGTTTGATTCCTGTCAGAGAAGCACATATTTTCTATGAAATTTCTTAATCATTCACACTGGTAAATGTAATTAATATTGTTTAATTAGAAAACAGCATTTACTTAAAAAATGTATAAACAGAAAATATATATATATATAATACATATTATGTATATATATATATATATATATATATAATAATAGATTATCTTTAGATATGTATATCAAATAAGCTTTGAGGTGCTGTAAAAAAACATTTTGATACATTTTGACTGTTTGATACATTTATCTTTCAGATATAAATTTAAATAACAATATCATATTCAAGTCCCAGTATTCAAGTTGACAATGTCATTATTTGATTATGGTGTAATTACCTGATTATTTTGAGTAAAATCTATATCGTTATAAATATTTTGAAGATATTTTAAAAAAAAAAATATTATATTTAATCAGCTTACCTATTTTAACTCGACATAACCCTAACCCTTACATTTTTGTGAATAGGTGATGGTTATAATGGATTATGCATAATTTTTATATATAATTTTTTTTTAAAGGTACCTTGTTGGTAGACCTAAAAATGGCTTACTGAATTGTCTTTGCACAGAAAGGTTGTGGCGTGGAATTGTTTTGCACAGAACTTTATATACAAGTATTGATGTTTTGGAATAATCCCAAAATTAAAATTCTTTTTTTAATTCTGTTCTTTTTAGGGTGAAATCCAATGTAGTTATGATGGCCCCATAATTCATTTTGATTTTAACAGTAACCAAACACGTAAGTTCTTTTTTATTTATTCCATAGTTTTTATTTCTGCTTTAGCTCATTTTTCAACATTTCTTTGGGTTTGTCATAGTTGTATTCTTAGCACTGTTGATAACACTGTGTTCAAGAACCAAATTATCTTCCAAGACCTATGCCAACTTGAAGCAGAAAGATACTAGGGTTCAGGACCCTGATTGACAGTGTCCCTTACACAAGAGACTTCACATCCTACAGAAATGTCACACAAATCTCAAACAGCATGGTAAAACAATAAAAAATGACATTTACATAAATAGATTAAACTTAAAAAAATATTCTACACACTTTTCAAATTACCATATATATTTTTTTTAATAGAAATTTTGAATTAAAATTAAAGGCAAAAAAAGTGGGGTTATATTATACACAATTACATATTTTCAGAAATTTTTACACAGCTTAAAAAAACTGTTATTTCAAACAGCAAGATTGTAAATACACTCAGTTAGCACAATAGATAATAAAACACAAAGTAGGCAGGTGTTGCTAACAATTGACAATTGTTTACAAAAGGTATTTGACATGTCAGCAATATTTGTTCTTTGAGAATCAATGTAATTGGATATCTTTTGTCTCAAAAACAGAAAATTCACTGAAACTGATTAAAAAAAATGAATAAAGGGAATACACAAGAGGTGTTATGTTTTGATACCATTAATGTTACAACACCTAACTATTGTATAAATTAGGTACTTTTTTTTTTTAGTTTTTTACCACTTGAAAAATGGGGCATTAATTCCAATGCTGTGAGGTTGTTGTTTCATATTCATCCATTTGTTGACACAAAATATCCAGTTTGAAAACTTCTAACAATTTGAGAAAAATAAAATAATACAAAATATATATGTAAATAACCCCAACATAATTATATCACTATATAAATATTATAAACTGGTTCTTGAAACTTTAAATCAAAAAAATATTATGATAATTTATGTGAATTTAAAAATATTTAAAATACTGAGCAATTTAAATAAACAAGATGGCTTCAAAGAGAAAATCCAGACATACTGCATATGATGCATCATTTAAATTAAAAGCTATTGAATTGAATATTTTAGTGAAATATATGTAGGACATAATTTTCATGGATAATATAGTACAAATTTTCAAAAAAATTTACATAGTAAAGGCTTCACTACTTGGTCAGATTATACTAAAGTCATATACACAAGAAAATAAGGTAATCAATTCATAGTACTTTCTATCTGATTTTTGTTTAACTTGTGGAATTGCCATTACAAGAAGGAGTTCTTTGGGATGGTAACCTATTGCTAGTTAAAAATGTTGCAGTTATCTGGTGGTTGTTAGTTCAATCTGTGGATTAGAATAAAGTGTCATTAAAAAAATGGCATCATGATCACAAATCCTGTAACCCCTTAAGGTCATAGAGGCACTGCTGCTATGGTCCTGCAGCCATAGCAGCAGTGATATTTCTTGGGTAAGACAGCATGATGAAGCTCAACCATCTCCAGGTTGGTTTGAATCAGAGTTTTCCTTCTCCTGAACTGGTTGCCAACCAAGGCTATAGAGCCCAATCTGTCCTATTATTTACCCATAGCTGGGGTGGGGGAAGAGATGGATTCATACCTTTCCTGAGGATATTTGTATGTAAGTGAATGTAAAATGGTATAACAGTAACAAAATAGCACAAGAATCAATAAATACAAAAAATTCCCTCAACATAGCTGAATAAGAGTAAGAAACAGCAGAATAAAGCTGAAAGTGATTAGTTGTGTTAAAAAAAACAGACTTTATTCAACTTCTCTTTATTCTTTAATACAACAATGAGAGAAAAATCACTAGCTCCTGGAAAACTAAATTTTATTGCATTTACTGTATGAACATCAAAGCTATTTTCATTATTATAAAAACATTATAGAACTTGGAATGAAATTGTATAAATCTTTCCATCTAACTTGAGTTAATCTTATTGCTAACTTAGTGTGAGGATCATGATTGGTGTCATCAAAGGACATGACTGTCATATTCAAACCACATGCCAGGATATTTAAAGGGCAATTAAGCTAACAAGATATGGCAATAGCTGATGGAGGAAACAGTTGGTAATTTCTAATTTTATGAACAACACCAGGCTGGGAATAATTTCCTGTTGAGAAATTAAAATGATAATTCTAATTAATGACCAGACACTAAGCCATACTATGCAGTTTGAAAATCAGATTTGTTGAAATGACAACTGAGGTGACAGGCATAGGTGAGATACCAAGAAGGATGAAGGAATTGACTGTGCCCATTGGGAAGTAATAGTACAAGGCACAAATAAGAGAAAGGAGGAGTTATCAGTGCAGGCCAGTACCTGCAACCACTGCCCATAGGAAAAGGGATGTCCCAAATTTGATGAGATATTTTTTCAAAACCAGACAATAAAGAACTCTTATTGGAAGATGGGAGAAACAGTGGGTCCCCTAACCACATCGACCCCATGCCAGTTTTGGGTAAAAGTTGATATAAGCAGAAGACTGAGGTGACCAGCCCCAGTTTCAGAGTTGCCAGACTGAAACGCAGATGAGACCAGACAGCAAGACAAGCTGCCAAGTTCCATGCGAATTGAGCAAAGTGTCACAATAGAATTCAAAGTGAGAAGGGTTAATATTTCTGTACAAAGAATAATATAAACCATGTAGAAAATAGACCCTGAAGAAATTCCTGTCTTTTCTTTATTTCATTTGCAAAGAACACTTTTTATTTTGCCATGATCAAACCAGTGCTAAAATTGCTGACAACAACTCAGTCTTTGCCAGCTCCAGGATCAAAAAACACAATGTGGGGCTGAGTAGAATGAGCAACTTCAATGACCAGCAGCAGTAATGACCAGCATAAAAATTGATCCGGAATCAACTGGTGAGAAGGGTCATAATTGGTTTTCCTAGACCAGGACTGAACCTGCATATCATAATATACCCTAGCAAACTTTACACAAAGGATTATGTTAATAAAAAACTGCATGACTATTTAAGTCAAAATTAATTTTGAATTATTAACTTAAATTACATAAAAATAAAATATTATATATATATATATATGCATTTTCTAGAATTAAAATAAAAGAAGACTATTTCTTATGCTTATTCAGTTTCTAGGGGTTCAGTAAACATTTGCACACATAATAACTGCTTAAAAATTTATTTGTCTTTTTATATTTAGATATTGGATTAAAATAAATTTGTGTATTGCAGGTACATATCAGCCTAAGAGCAATGACATAACTCCTTGTGAACTTCGTGGACATGGAGGAGCTGATTTTTTCACAATAAAGTCGTTTGTTGAAGCAATTCTAGTAAGTTTAACACCTTGCCTCTAATACAAGAAGAGAGACAAAAATAAGAAAACTTATTAACTGGTTTATTAACCCTCTGTTTGTACTGTGGATCATTGTCACTGTATTAGTATTGTAGGGTAGGTTGATTTTTTTTCACTTTTTTAGAAATAAAGATTGCATTCAACGGGATAAGTACTGACACCAAAAATTAGATTGATTGCTTTTACCAATTTTTGAGCATTTAGTTTTAAAGATCGTCTGAGAAAATGTACAGAAATACATAATTCCCACAGGTTTTTGCTTACAAACTGAGTTATCAATTTTACTATTACAAGAATAAATCCAAATAAAGTTAATATTTTTAGTATTAAATAGATTGAATGGAAACTATATTCAAACCAGAATTCCAAATCACAAGCAAAATATGCAATTTTTTTTTACAGTATTCAATAAATAAAACTGTATAAAAAATTATAAAGTATTACAAAAAGGTTACTCAATGATTTGTTAGATTTGATAGATCATTTGTTATGTGACACTGGAACCTCAGGGAGTCAAACAAAAAAAAATGGAAGAGGAAAGAGACTACTAACTGAATGATAATTGTTGAAATTCGCAGGAAAGTAGATTGAAAAGTTAAAAAGAAAATTAAAAATGAAATGCATAATAAAAATTCAAAATAATAAAATGAAATACTGAACAGTTCCAAGGAGAATCGAACCCAAATTTAACTTAATGGAATTTACTAAGACTGAGTAAAAGCAAGACTACCTATCTTTCCCCACTTCCCACTGATGAGAAAGAAACAATATATCATTGAAGATGTTGGTCCTGGAAAATAGCAAAACATGTTTTTGATAAAGAAAATTGGTGGTCAGTGAAATAACATCTAAAATTCTTCTGGACAAAGATCCAGGAAAAACATCTGGTTTGAATCAGTCACCCAGCAGAAAAATATCCCAACAAAAATAAAAATTGGGGACAGGTTCATTCATTTTAATTTTTGTGACATTTGTCAGAATTTTTATGGCCAACATTACATGGGATTCTTTTGGATACAAGTGATAAAGCAAAATTAATTACTGGCCCTGGAGTGACCATAAGCAACTGGCTGTGTGGCTTGGTTGATTGAAAAATCACCTAAAACAACCAGCATGGGACAAGCTGATAAATAAAGATTAATTACTGGAAATCCCCTATTTGCCAATGTATTCTAAAAGATTCATCACAAAGACAGTGTACCAGCCCTTGTAGTGAGTTGAGGTTGGATGCTGAGAAAGTGGGAGAAGGGAGAGAGAGAGAGAGAGAGATTAGCACTGCCTATATAGAGTGATATTGTAAGCTGAAACATGAAGGGAGTTGAAATGAAGGGGCAGCTTGATTCATTCTCAAAAGGAGGCTGAACAACCCCTAAATTTGGGAAATTACTCAAGTAAGCATATTTTGAAAATATGGGATGTAAGAAAAAGGTTGATGCTTAGGGTGGAAGATAACTGAACCCTAGACCCTGATCAATCCAGCACCTGCCAGACACAGGAATCCATATAAGATGGAAGTTTGGACAACTAGAAGAGTCCCCAAATCACTGCTACCAGAATCCACTTCATTTGCTGAAACTGCCTGTCCAAGACCTCGTGCTAGCCCTGAGGACCAGAACATAGAAATTTAAATTACGATTAACACAGGCTGTAAACTCCAAAAGAGAGATCCCAGTGTCATTTGGTTCTAACCTTAAGTAAGGATTGAAACTACTGCATACAACAAATCATTTAAAAACCAAATTGTTGTTACATTTTTAACCTGAGTTAATTATTTATTCCCAAGAATTCTTTTTTGTGTAGTTCCTTGCCACCGACCCATTCTTCACTTCAGTTTACTTCATTAGCAATCTTCTCACCTTCTGAGATCAAAAACACAACATGGCAGAGTGAATGATCTTGAAGCAGACAAACGCCAGCCCGATCGAGTGGAACTGTGTTCATCAATATGATACCAGTGACAAACCAGCAACATGTTAACAAGTGAAGAGTCAGCTTCACTTCAGTTTTGGGTTACAGTAAGATCATAAGTAATAAAAACAAAAAATAGATAAAAGTGTATATAACACCATAATACTGCTGGGCACAAATTATAAGACAAAATGTTTAAAATTTGCATTGTTTATTGAAAACTGCACTAAAACTATTTCACTGTATAATATATTACATTATAATATAGCTAAATTGTTCAGTATAATTTCCCTTTGAAGCAAATGAGGGTCTTATTTAATGGCACAATGATTTAGTAATAATGTACTTGTTCCATACACCTTGTCCATTTGGAAACCTTCAGTAAATTATAAATTTTATAAGGCTGTGCTATATGGCTTTCGCTGATCACCAGAATGAAATTGCAATACTACGATTTTGAACCTAAGCTTAATTTTCAAGCTTGTTTCCTCAAAAATCAGTAATGATTTGAAAAAATATTTTATGTCATTATTTATCATGTCAAATCCCAACTTTCAAATTGAGTGCAATACCACAGCTCCAAAATTGATATTGTTTAAATCTTTATTTTTTTATTATATATATTGTCTTCTTTCTGCTTTTTAAAGGATAAATAAGAATGAAAAAACAAAATGTTTTATTTTGAAAAAGTTAAATTAATAAGCAAATATTAAAAATGCTTCATGTTGCTTATTATATGTTGCCATAAGGGCAAAATAAAAATGCTATATTGATAGAAAATTACAATATATTTATGGAACTAACTACTTAAACTAATTTAAAAGGTATGTCACAAGACCTGACAAAAACAGAAAAAGGCTCCATTAATACTTTGAAATAGTTTTCTTACTCCTAAACAAATAAAACTACTTTTAATTCACAACAAATGTTATGTTTACCACCACAAACTCAGAAAGCTGTTTGAATTATCATGAAAGTCAAACTTGCCACTTGCTAAGTTTTAAGGAAAAAAAAGAAGTATTGCTGTCATATTTGGTATGGAGCAGTTCAATCCTCACTTGCCTTGAGAGATTTCATAATTGTTTACACAGCCTTTTAAGAAGGAAAAACTTTCTCTCAGATGCAGCATTGCAAACCTATCACTACTACAAATATTCAAATGAGCTTCATTCACCAGTTTAAGCTTTTACTGCCATGCTACTTCCACACAGTCAAATCATCCTCATTTCCCCCATATTTCAAATGTAAGTGAAAATTCTACTCAGAATTTTCCCAAGAACTGCCACTTTATCAAACACTATGTAGATGCTGGATGGAACACTGTAATCAAATGAAGAGTCAGTCATTGAAATGGTTTTATTAAAAGAATTCTGCAAAGACCACAGTCAATAGTAATCTGAAGGTGCAATATCTTTTAAATATAGTGGACAAGTGAAAATCCCCCTGTCTTCCAATATATTGTAATAGTTTATACCTGGTCACCAAAGAAACATTTAGTTAATCATCATCCTGATAGAATATTGTCTTTTATCTTAACTGGCTGTATTTACAAAGAGTTATTACTGTTATTTTGCCAGAAATGAAATAGGGATCTACAATTTATATTGGGACTCTTTATTGCTTGTCAATTTTCTTTTTATAAAATTTACTTCTTATTATGTTTATCTGATTTATAAATTTATTCAATCATTTCTTAATTTTCTTTTTTATCTGATAGGAGCAAGATCCAGCAAAGATATTAACAGGAGTTGAGGAATCCTTGGCTAGCCATCTTGTTGTCTTTGCTGCCGAAAAAGCTCGTTTGGAAAATAAAGTTGTCACTATTCATTCAGATGGGTCATTCTCATAGAATTACTCGGATTTCTGGAAGAAAGGTTTTTTTTAAAAAAAGACTACAAAATGAATTAGTTAAACAATGATTAATATTAATTTTTGACTTGTATTTCTTTATAATTTAAATTCAAATTTAGTTTTGTTTGAATGTAATTCTCATATTGTCATTTTATCATTGGTAGTATGTGATTTAATTAACTTGAATTTTGAATTACTTGGCAATAGAAAGATAATAGTGATGTTGATAATGAATGATTTAAAATTTTCAATAATTGACATATCAATGTAAGAATCTGTGATATTATGGGGGAGGTACAAGATTTATGGATTTTAATGTTGCCAGATTGGTAACTGGGAGGATATTTGCTTACAAATTTTTGAAGTAAAAGCAATCTAATTTCTGCCTTATTTGTGGATATAAGTTTATTTACATGTTTTTTTTAATTAAGAAACATTTTTGTTTAATTTTTTAAAAATTTAGTGGTGTCATTGATGATAGATTGAAATTTTTGTATGATATTCATTCTTATTTAGTATACAGGAAAATATTAAACATATATGCTTTTCTTATGATGTCATGGATTTTTTAGAGTATGTAAGCAGCTTTTTTCAGGTTGGTTTTGCTATTAATAAGTGTTCTGATATTATGCCGATTTTTAATAGATTTATTTTTTAGTAAAGTTTTCATTGCTGGATGCATTATGAGGAGATTTTTATTGTTTAAATTAAAAAATTTTTTCTAATAATATTTCAATTTTGCCTGATTTGGTAATGGTGCTATATTTATCCTGTATATGCCATATGTATATATATTTATATATATACATATACAGTGTAACCCGAATATAAGAGAAACCTGGACATAAGAGACTTCTTCTCTGGTCCCAACAACTCTCTTATATCCGGGTTTCTCTTATATCCGGGTTTGGTCTAATTTATATATAGAGAAACTATTTATTTATTTACTAAAGAGAAACTATTTATTTATTTACTAAATTATTTATAGAGAAACCCGGATATAAGAGAGATTTTCTCTGGTCCCAAATTAGAGCCTGTGTTAATGTATATAAAATAGACCAAACCCGGATATAAGAGACTTCTTCTCCGGTCCCGACAACTCTCTTATATCCGGGTTACACTGTATGTATATATAAGGATAAACTGGAAAGTTCATGTGCTGACCAAGATATAAATGTAAATAGATACACCAGTTGGTTGACTAAAAGATATGCAAGTGTATTCTGATACACTTTAATTTTTGGTGCAATAGAATTTGTAGATATATATATAATGTAGACATGGTATTTACAATAATTGTCCGCATGATCTGAAGATCACTTTCATCATGAAACTGACAGCCATCATATATATATATAAAATTGTTGAACCTGAAGTTGCTTGTGATTGGAATATAAATAGCAGCTGAGGAGTTGCAGTGGGTTAAGAGATCCCAAAAATGTATGTTATGAAGTACCAGTTGTACCTGGCCTTTTTACAATTACGATTAGTGAGACTGCCACAAAACTCCACACACAAAGCATAACCACCTGTCTCATTGGCCTGTTCTCTTCCTCATACTCATTTTATCAAGTGGTTGAGGCTTGGACATTTTAATAAGCCATAAATCTATCTTGCAAATTCTCTGAGCTGGGAGATCAGGATTTTCTTAAATTGTAGCTTTTGAATCCAAATATCTTGAACAAGATATGTACAAGTGTGTTTTATTCCAGATGGTAAGCCATATTCCCTTCTACAGACTATGAGAATAGTTGTAACTGATGGATGGCACATGAGTAAATATCCAATTAGCATGGTTGCCGTGGAGAAGGGCTATGATATTTTAAGACCCGAAACCCCTAATGGTTCATGACTAAAAATATCACCAATGATGTGTGACAAAACTGATATATTTCCCAATATATATATTTAATCATTTCAATCCAAGCAAAGCAATAATGCCACTAAGTTTGCAAGGGGCTACAGAAAATGGAAGAGAATGAGAAGACTTTAGTGAGAAGAAGTGAAGAAAAGGATAATAAATTAATAAGATTCTGAAATCACAATTGACATTGCATTTAAAATATTAGAAGAGTCTTGGTAGCAGGGAAGCAAGATATTGGGAGTTTCACAGATGAGTAAAGAAACTATTAGAATAGAAGTGATGGTTGCATCTAGCAACTTCAATGGTGATTTGGTGAGACCTAGTTGTCAATCTAGTAGTACACTTAAATTCATGCTGTCAAGGTGCTAAGGAGAATAGCTAATCAAACCAATTGCCCTGAAAATATTTGTAGAAAAGACAGTTGGAAGTCAGATCCTGTCAGTAAGAAAGTGACTGATGTTGAAATATCAGGTCAGGATCAATTATGTTACTAACTTTGGTTATGAAACAGGTTCATAATGACACTTTTATTTTGTGAAAAAAAAAGTAATCATTATGTATTTTTGCATAGATATATTCTTTTGAAAAATAAATATTCTTTCACAGATATCATTATTTTATGTTGAAATTATTTTTATTTTTTTTCCTCTGCCATCATGAACATTTCTACACTCAAGTCACAAAAAAGATTTTTCATGCAAGTTCAAAAATCACTTGATTCTTGCTGATTACAGCCATATGTATTTTCAAACATATATATATATATATATATATATATAGATATTACTGAAATATTTATATATATATATATATATATATATATATATATTACTGAAATATTATGCGTGCAACATCACGACCTAACATGTGCAAGTGAAATATTTGCACAGTCGTTTATAACGATTTTTACGAGCGCGTCAATAATGGGAAACGCGTTCAGGAACTTTTATTACAGACAGAAGCTGCAAAAAGGAACAATCGTTTTATTTATTTCATTGAGAATTTACAAAGAGGAATGATCAATTAGCTTTTCTTCATACCCTGCCTGGTGGTAAACACTGCCAGTGGCGCCTGGGGTGGTGGTCCTGCCATAGCCACTGAAACCGTGAGATCACCCCTGGTCGGTTGTATGTTAAAAAATATATATATATATCCCAAAATGTTGGTACATTCAAAAGATGACCTGCCAAAACACTTAAGCAGTAAATTAATGTGCTGAATGCCTATGCTATCCTGAAAGGCAAAACATACTTCACAGTGTTAACCCTCAATGAGGCACAGCTTAAATTGCTACTTAAGTTTCATGCTCTCACAATCTTCAGGCAACTAGATGTATATCTTAAGAGTAACAGAGCTCAATATCCTGGATAGAACATGTGTAAATATAAGAGTGGACACTTAAATTCTCACCATTCAGAGTTGACCTGTTTCAGTCTTGGCCTGAAGATTGTGTTCAAGCATGAAATGGATTGTCACCACATGGTGCTGACTTCAGTGTCCACTTTTATATTACATATGTTTGTGTATAATGTAGATACAAATCTATATATATCAAACTAATAATAGGTAATTGAATTACAAAATGATAAACATTCTGATGTTATGTAACAAAGAATGAATTAATTCATTGATTCTGATTTAGGTTGACTTTCCATCTTGTATACATATCTAGAGATCTGCTTCATAATTGATGCTTCACTTATGATTGGTTCATGATCAGTGACTTTATATTCTGGTTGCAAACTTATCTTGTTCGCTAGATTATAACGTTTGTATCCTGGTCAGGATGGTTTCTGATTAGTTTGTTGTCAATCTTTAACTTTCAGGCCCACAAAAGAACAGTCTGTCAAAAGGATAGTTATAAATTTACTTTTATATGTTTAGGTTTTATTGAAGTTCTAATCATTGCTTTTTAAAACAATAAATATTGTTGAGGAGTGAAGGTAGTTAAAATAATAACGGTGTCAAGGGAAAAACCATCCTTTTTTTTTTTTTGTGGGCACAAAGATTAAAAACTGCTGTTTGGACAAAATATGACTTCATAGCCAAGCAATCTTGAATAAACATCTATTTTTGAAGATGGTGAAATTTTGGTCTCTATGTTATTATTTGTTTATATTTATTTATTTTTCGATCATTACAAATGTCAACAGGTGCAATTCTTTCTACATGGATGAATTTAATGATACAAATCTACTTTGTACTTTCATGCAACTCTGAGTGTGAAAAAATAAGAAAAAGAAAAACATTATTAAGGAGCAAGAAGAATAAAAGAAGAGGAATCAAGTAGACAATAGATAATGAATTTTTGATGATAAAAGTTGGCTGGAAAGTAAGAAGCCTGAAGAGAGTTTCACAGGCGAGAAATGCGAGAGAAGTAACTGTTAGCACAGAACTTAGTTACATCTAGCCATTTCAACAGTAAAATGATAAGACCTTACTGCCAATCAAGTACTGTGCTTAAATTCATAAAGTCTAGGTACGTACCATAGAGTAAAGTCCTACAGAACAATTACTATGAAAGTATTTATAGAAAAAGCAGAGGGAAGCTACATTACAACGGTGGGAAAGTGACTCAAATCGAGATGCCAGGTCAGCACCAGTAACTTTGTATTTTATTTTAATACAGCTATTAGCTGTATCTTATGGTTAAATTTTTATTTTTATTCTAACCATTTTTTATTTATAAAATCTAAAGAAATCTTTCCAAAAAAATTTAAATCATTCTTGATCATACAACACTTCTTGTGATGTTTTTATCACACTTGAATATTCTTTCAAACCCATTTGTAAGTCTCCAGAGTGTGATCTTTATTGGAAGCACTGCTGAGGTGGGCCTGTGATAAACTTTATACAAAAGTGTGTAATGATTAATAAGCTGTACTTGTAGATCAATAGTGTTGTATCGAGTTCTATTCTCAGTTATTACAACCATCTTTATTTATGAAACCATATTTTAAGTTTTATTTTATAAGTGACACCAATGGTCTACCATAGGTATAAGTATTCAGTTTTCTTCATAAAAGTTATATTAACACTATTAAGAATAATAATTTTAGTTTATCATAAACAATCATCTATTAATAGAAAACAATGAGATAAAATACTGTTTAAAAATAGAGCTGTCTACTCAT